GGCCCGAAGGTGGTCCCGATTAATTTTTCAGTATGCGCGCGAGGCGGAGGGTAATTCTGGTTCAGCAAGCACGCAAGGTGGTATTGGGAAATTCTGGAAACACGACGTTGACCGGCCAGCATTAGCTTCTATTCTTCAGAACCACCTTCCCCTCCAAGCTACACTTACATGAAATTCTAAGAGCCTGTTTACATGGCGTTGGGGATCCCAGATAGGTGAGGAAACATGTGGCGGGTCACCCTAACTATCATGTAAACGTGATCAAATTACCCGACCAATGTGGGTTGCCTCACCTAACTGGGGTCCCCCACCTCCATGTAAACAGGCCCTAAGTCTCTTCAATTGGTGTTAGAAAAAAAAGGAGATTGAATGAGGGACTAGCGGGATTCGAACCCGCGGTTCTAAAAACCGCAATCCGTCGCCTATACCACCACACCACAGGGAGTTCGACTGCAAGATATGTCATCGTTTTGCATAGTTATGGTGACAAACCTAACCCTAACCGTAAGCATTTGAGTCAGTGCTTAGCCCTATCCTATATCGTCAGTGTTTAACCTTAATCTCTATTAAATAACGTTTTTCGCGAAGTTTTAAAATGTCTTAACCTAAGAGCATAGAAATAAAGAGATTACACATTGAACGTTAGAAGACATGTTTCAAAATAAACGTCGTGTCTAAGGCGGAGGCAGATGTAGTGACAACTATTGCTAGTGTTTAATGATAATGCTCTGATGGCCTGAGCTTGAATATTTCTTAGGCCACAATTTGCTTTGGTTAGTAAATTACTTTCTCGAAAAATGGCGAGGAATTTTCGAAACTGCAGGGGCCCTGTCTTTAGTTACGTTGTGGAACTTTTGTCGCTGGAAAATGCAACCAACCTTTTTCTTTAAAAAACAATCAAACTTCACTTGCAAACATTATTCGCTGGAAGTAACATTTGCGATGTTATATTTACTGAGTCCTTCTCGACCTAATTCTTTTTTAATTACGTAAATATATAAATCGCTGTGAAGATCACACTGCATAATTGGTTATGTCACGTTATTGCTTGCATTTTGCAGTCTGTTAGCAAAGGATGGACCCTTCTTTTTTGTGCTCGTTTTGGTCCCTACAAATGAGGCGATTGCTGGCCTTCCTATTTTACTTTTAGTATCATATACATGAAACTGCTTAGGTGCTATGATATCAATTATTTTAAGATGCTTTGCATCTTTAGTGTGCGAGAGCTTTACCCGTACTGGGCCCTTGGATTTGATAAGCTTTCCTTTTCCCTGAATAATTTGTCCATTTATTATCTTGCTTCTTAACTGAGATGAATCTTCTAATGGCTTTCCATTTAAGCGTATAAGAACGTTTCCCAACCCAAAGCGAAACTTTTGAGATTTACGAGGAATTGTATCTTTTGACGCAATAGGAGGTGTAAAGTTGGGTTCCAATGTAGCCTTATTTTCCAAAAATTCGGCTTCCGAAGAGGTCATTTCTGATATTTGAAAATTTGGATTTCCAACTATCTTTGGATGAGAAGTTGGCTGCTGGGGCTGAGGCAAAATATGATCTTTCAGGGCTGAAAAAGGCGAAGTCAATTGGTATCTCGCGAACGTTTGAGCATCTATTTGATTTGGTAATCCTGGGACGTTAGGATAATAAAACGGACGGTTTGCTGCATTAAAACTTTGCATTAGTTGAGGCTTTGAGGCTTGGAACTGTTGAGGAAAGCGCTGTGGATCAAAATTATCCTGGCTTGGGGACGCATCTTGATCATCGTTGCCATTGTCGTTTGTTGATCTGGAATCTGGACTCAGTTCTTCACCCTCTGTCGCTGAATCATTTCTGTCATAAGAACTATTTATGTCATCATCAGATCGTTCTTGTTCTGGTTCTTCTGCGTCCTCGTTCTCCTCATCCGAACGTTCTTCATCACCTCGAGAATATCCTCGTTCTAATGGATAGGGCGGTGGTTCATCATCTTCCTGGGTGTCGTCTTCCCTTTGTGAATCATCATCTCTATCATAATATCTGCTGCCTTCATGTCTTCCCTCATCATCATCCTCATCTTCCTCCTCTTCACCTCGTTCATCTTGAAGCCTTTCTTCGTTCTGTCTGTTTCTTTGACGATCTAATACCTCACTTCTCTGACGTCCATCTTCATCTACCCAGTTACTCGCAGGTTCCATTACTCGTTGGCCTCCAGTCGCAAGTTCTGGTGACATCTGCATTTGAGCTGGAACTATTATTGGCTGTTTCTCTGTCATCGGTGAAATGGGGACTTGAGGAACTTCTAACTGTTGCTGTGACTGAAGCTGGTACAAAGATCGGGCATCGGGTTGTTGGTTACCTAAAAGGAACTGTCCCTCCATTTGCGAAGGCATAACATACGTCGGGTTAACGGTTTGTGTTTGAAGTGCAGGAACTTGCACCGCTGGCTGTAGTAACAGTTGGTTTGTCAAGGGTACTGTGGGCTGAGGTGAGGAATACTCTATAGGACTGGACACAGGAAAGGAATTTTGAGCTGTCATTGGAACAAGGGCAGGCTCGTAATCTGATCGACCATTAAACAGTGGAAAGAGAAACGTATCTGGTCGTCCACCAAGCGAAACCGATTTAGGGTTTAAGGGACGAAAAGGTTGCATGAGTTCTTCTGGCTGTGTTAATTGGGATGACTGAGCGAGCGAGAGAGGGTCACGCCTTCTAAAAATTGGAAACATTTCATCCCTCATTTGTCCTTCATCTGCTCTAGATAGACCGCCATTTAAAGCATCTTGAGAGATCGATATCACATTTGGTGGATAATCATTAACTGCGTTCCTATAATAAGAACCGCGTTTTAGAGGTCGGAAATGCACTCTCGGTGTCCTAGGGCTAGAGCTTGAAAGCGGCCATCCAATGGAACCGTAGAGTTGCGTGTCCTTGTCATTCAATTCGTTTTCACTTGTATCGTCCCCATCAAGTGAAACAACGTGCAGTCCTGATCTGTGGTGGCTATGTATTCTACCCAAACCATCATTCGCATGTATTCTAAAAGTATGGCGCCCTCTATGACGACTCACTTTTGCTATCCTAACCATTCCGTCTTCACGTGAAAAAGGTGCATGCATTGCATGATCGTTGTCACCAGTATCGGATACAACTTCGTAGGCATCACTCTTTTTCTCATTTTCTTGTATTTCAGGTGGTCCTTTGGCTTTGCTCACAGTTTGCTCCTTGAGTTCAGATTCTTGATATTCCGACATGTCCTCAAGGTTACTTGGGTTGGGTTTCCCATGAAAAACCTTTCCTTCTGCCGATAAACTTTTTCCATGTTTCTCTATGTTTGCAACTGTCTCACCTTCCCTATTTCTTTTATGTGCAAAGTCATCTCTTAAGAATATTATCTCCTGCCTTTTGCGAGACTTGCTGATCGTAATATTGGCACCATGGGGCGTTTTACTTGTGTCAGTGGTATTGATGGCCAGGGTGTTCACTGGGAAGTTTAAAGAAAATGGTTCATTAGGTACATGTATGGAGTGCAAAACTACATTGCAGTAAGCCGATAGTGGTCGCTTAGGATCCGAAGCGCAAAGAGAACTACAATGCAATACTTTCAAGGATGGTCCTGTCCAATATTTTATTCCGTCTAATTTAAAAAGCAAGAAAGCTACCATTTCTGACATAAACATACTTTACGGTTGATTCTTTTTTATATCTATCTTTATATCGTTGACGGTGTAAACTTACGATTTCCTTGTCTTAGTTTGTAAAAGTGCTTAACGAATGATGTTTACCCTTTGTGTTTACAGTAAGATTTAAGTGTTTATTGTCATAATGGTAACTTAATTAAAACAACTCAAAAAACCATAGAAATAGAAGAAATTTTAAGTTATCGAATTTTCTGGTATAAAATAATGCAGGTACCATTGTATTAAGTTTAACAAATCCGCCATGTTTTAACAGAGGTATTGATGCGTACGTGACACCGTTGCCCTTATAGCCAATTAGTTTCTGTTCCTCGCATGACTTAGAAAATCCGAGAGATGTTCTTTCCCCAAACCGTCTTAAAATGCATTTTTTCTCCTTTTGCCTACCGTATGTTTGAGAAGTAATATATGCAAGGCGATCCAGTTGTTCTGGCTACAGAATACGACAATACTTAGTTTCAACACAAACCTGGCAAAAATGTTAGTAGAACAAATAAAATCCCAATCCATTTGGTCATCGACGCCATAACATGTCACTTAACGTAATATTTTGGTCTACGCATCTTGAATACTAGGTTTTATCAAGACAAGACTCCATGTTTAGGGAAAGGAAAGAGAACAATACAATTTGAATGATGTAATAACAAAGGTCACGTGACCATGCTCCTTCGAGAGAGAACGTCTCCTTAAGATGTTGAAACGAGTTGCTATTATATTCTACAGTAGTCTCAAGAGAAGATGTTATCAAGAATTCTTTGCGAAGAATTGTAATTTTATCGACAATTTAGTATCTAATTAATTTTTGCAGAAAACATTGCTCTACTGTAATTTCTGGGCCAATAGTTGATGATTGACATTAAGATGAAACTATGTAAAGGTATAGAAAAGGTATGTTTTGGTTTATTTGTAGTAAGCCTGTTACGCTTGGACATGCCCGATAGAACAGATCGTTAAACATTAGTGAATCCTTTATTTCTGTCAAGGAAGTAAATGGGCCAAGAAATCCACCTGCTTGACTCGACAAACCGTGCACTGTGAAACATTGAAATACTGCACCACAAACTTTCTTTCGTCGCAAGAACTATCCGACTTTTCCTCTCTGTTACTTCGTCACCGAAAAAGAGACGTAGCAGTGAAAATTAAGTCAAAGCATTAGACTATAAGTCTCAACAATGATACCTAGACGAAACAGACAAGATGTTCTGACGTCATATACAGTGAAATATTAATCGGTCGAGGTAGCGGTGATCGCGATACCCGTTAAATGCACCCGTTTGGTCAAGCTTTTTAAATGTCTTCTTTTGTTAAAGTTATTTTTCTTGTGAGATGAATTACCTGCCATTACTTTTACTTCTGCAAAGTTTTGTTTTCCCAAGTAATTCTCATAAACATGGTAAGCCGGACGCGTCAGTTCGATCAGGTATAAATATTTGTACGAGCTTTCTTGTTCTAGTGCAGCCTTGTGGCTTACCTTTTTTATGTTAACTTAATCCCCCCATAGTCTAACAGTTCAATGAGATATCTATAATATTGTGACTCATGAAGTGTTGTAAAATTCGATACAACTATATGTCGTCACATGCAGTAATAAATTTTGCTCCTCCCTTGATTTAAGGTGGGAGGCTTAGGTAATGACATTTTCGCTTCAGACCTATTAAAATGACATGTAAATCTTATTTGAATTTTCTATAATTCTGGAGAGTGCTAATTTTGTACGCGAAAGCGTAATGTATATTTCAAAGTTCTTCAACTAAGAAAAGAAAGTTTCATATCATAGTTAGTTATAGTGCTACCGTTTTTCTATTGCGTGTAACGGCAACATCATTTCAGGGGTCGAACAGTAGCCATTTATCAACTACAAACTTGAAAAAAGCGCCAGCCCATGACCACAAAATTACCCTTTTTTAAAACTAACATGTTTTAAAATTTGTATCAACTACTATGAGTCACAATAAAGATGAGCATGTTTTGACTTGATGAAGTTCAGTATCATGTTCCTTGAATTTTCGGAAACGTATAAACTTGCAACAAAACCTGATGAATCCATATGTAATGACTCGCCGCACTGGTTTTGATATTTGCGGTTATTATGAATATATAATCTTACTGCTAAACTATTTTTTATATATTATCACAGATAGCGACACACGTGCAAACCACAAAATGCCAAAAAGGGTACAAGAAGCCAAGAAGGAAGAAATTCTCGGTGAGGACACCAACCGGATTGACCGGGAAGAGTACAAGTTGCAGAGTATGGTCAGCCCAGAGACACATGAGGCCAGCAGGTTTTTTGACAGGCCTCCCTCTAAAGAAATAGGCAATCTTCGAGTTGACACCATGTCTCCAGCTCAGGTGTCTTTCATTCAAAGCAGCACTCAATGGCACAAGTACTTCAAACCGTCATCACCTGTTCAAGTGCCTTCAACAATCTTCCCTGATGATCCAGTACTATTTCCAGGAACGAAGTCTTCCAAGGATACCGGCAGTGATTCACAAGGTGTCACTGAGGGAGGACTTGAAAGTTTGGTAAATGCCGATGTTCCAAGGCATCATCAGAATAATTACGATAGCTGGAGTTCATTTGGATCCTATGGTGACACAGCTGGCGGTGAATCGTATCAGCATCAAAAAGAATATGAGGATACCCCATTTTTAGACAAGAGCTGGATGAATCCAAAATCCGAAGGAAAACCACCTGAACAATCAAGTTATGAGAGTTTTGATGGGAAAACACTAGCTGTACCAGAACCGAAACAAGGTGTAATGTCTGGTCTATTAAATCATTTCAGAAGCCAGCCGCTTGGAGAAAATGCTGGTTTGGGAAATGAAGGACAACATTCGAGCTCTCTAGAGGACCAAAAAGCAAGCCTTTTAGAGAAACTGGATGAGTTAAAGGAAAATCAAGTAATGCCTCAAGAAGGAGAGGAAAAGGTCTTTTTTGGCGGGGGAAATCATAAGTCCCCTTTGCAGAGCGATGTTGAAAGTCCTCCACTGTTAGGACCCTCAGCAGGCCTAGGGACAGCCCTAGCTGAGGAGCTTCTACAGAAAAATAGAGGCAAAAGTCAGAGAGTGGAAGACTCGACTGAAATGTTACAAGAATTAAGGGACACTGCTCCAAAGTTTCGATCGCAAACAAATGAATTATATGAATCTCCCCTCTTGGCTAGGCCTATGTTTGATGAAAGGGCAAGCGAGAGGACATTGATGTACAATAGTTTAAACAACTTTGATAACGATAGGGGGCACATGGTATTGATAAGGAGCCATCAGATACAAGAAAACCAAAAGAAAGGATTTGTTAAAGATAATGGAATAAACACCACTGTACCTAGAAAGAAACAAACCAAAAATGATAACCACAAGAAAATCCACCATCAAAAGTTAAGAAATTCAGCTTCGAAATTGGTCAACAGCAAAAACGTTTCCGTTGTACATCGCAAGAGACTTTGCAGGGGATGCTCCCTTTCTTCGCGGCGAAAAAAGGTTAACGGAAAGAAAACAAATTAAGGAGCAACAATGAGACACCTGAACGTTGGTAACTCTGTGGAATGCAAGAGGTGACTTCAAAGTGATAGAAATGAAGGGTAAAAAACAAAATAAATTTTATACAATTAATACCATGAACTCAAAAGCCTGGTTAACTTTTTGTGTTCCCAGCAATCGAAATTTTCTGTGATGGTAAATGATTGTTTCGTAAAAAAGCTATGAAGTACAATAACACTATTGCCCAAGGTATGAAGGCGAATTTCTCAGGAAAGAAACACTCTAAGATGGACTGGAGGCAGAGCGAAAGATTCAATGGAAATACTGCTTTTATAGGAGACGTAACTCTTTACATCCCAGATGAATTTATATTTCATAGCTTTTCACGGTATACCAAACTTGGTCGAATAACCAATCTCAACATGTTCTTTTATATGGTGGTGTCAGTTTATCGATTAGTTTAAATTTGAAACTCTTCCCAGGTCCCTACGCATCTCCGAAATGGCCAATATCAAGAGAGGATAAAAAGGACAGAGAAGGCATCCCCCATACACACCCTATTCCATAGGTAATTTGTCTCGAGTTATTCTTAGAATCGGGATGAAGTTACCTCGCGCGCTGCATGGATGTTTCGTGGAGGTTTCGCATGACTAAACGCCGTGCAAAACATGTCGAGCGAGAGGCAATGAAAGCGTAAAGAGACCTAGAGCATTTCTGAATATTGACGCGAAATGAGTCGGCGCTCACCTGGAAAAAGGGAATTGCTGGACTCTTTGACAACCCGTGAAATCAGTTTAAATCGAAGTTATCGTAACCTCAGTGCTTTAATAAAATGAGAAATTTCGCCGGTCTATTGAAACCGGTCGTTTGTATAATAAAGCAAGTAGGACGCCGAGTGTTATTTTTGTTGAATAATAAAAGACTGATAAAAGAATAGATATCAAACCAGAAATTGCTCTCTTCAAACTGTAAATTATAAATGATCCTGAGAGAATATTCAGTGTGTTAAGGATTTCCCTGCTGTACTGTTAGCTCTACACAAGAGAGGAAGGGCGATTCTTTTTTAATTTCCATTTCGCTGACACCGCTTTAGTAGAAATCTCTCTTTAGTCGTTTTCGTCGACAAAACGAATAGCAACGTCGCTCTCCTCGTCTTCCACGCGTGGCTCTGAGCGTGGGTCATCCACGCGGAACACATTCGCGCTATGTGATTGGCTTTTGTCTAATCCCCCTTGGGATCTGTGGTCTTAAAAATAACTCGAGACCAATTACCTGTGGAAAAGGGTGTGTATGGGAGATGCCTTCTCTGTCCCCTTTATCCTCTCTTGGCCAATATGATATATTTTAAGACACTTTTTCAGAATTCTCCGAACAACGCTATATGGCCTAGCGAACTAATAAGCCCGTTACAATTCAAAATGGTTTGGCTCAGTTTTTCTCAAATAAAATTGTTCTCAGCTACCACTTGGTGCTTCATACATGTATTATTTTAAAAAATTGAATTGAATAAAAAGCACGTTATTTTGATGACTGAGATGCTTCATCTATTCAATTTAATACATGAATGGAAATAATTCATTTGGTTTTTCCAGTTGTGGTACAAAAAGGAAGTTGGGAATTGGTCTTTCATTTTGCTTCAAACCGCTCAAGCAAGGAACAGGTGGCTGAAGGGTTGACAGGCCACCGGACGAAGAAGTAATTTGAAAGAGCGGGCAATGAAGAAAGGAATTTTTTGTATCCATACTTTCCTGATAATTTTATTTAGTCTGGTCCTCATCACAGGTACGTATACAATACCATTATTCAAGGAGACCAAAAAAAAAAATCATTGCAAGAGGATATTGTATAAATACTAAACTACTTTTTGGCATATATAGTGTCCTGGAAGATGAACTTCAACCGTGATTGTTGATTTTGCGAAAAGTGATCTTAGTTATGAAATGTCGGATCTAAGTGAGGAAATGATCGCCAATAATATTTAAGGTCAGAAATAGCCAACATTAAATTCGCTTAGAGTTATCTAAAGATAGTATAAAGAATTATGTTTTAGCCTTAAATGTAGAGACTCGAAGATATTTCGAGCTAAATTGAAATCTCGACCAATAACCAAGGGGACGAAAACGGAGACAGCAAACGCCTGTAGAACTCAGTGTATGTAACAACATAAGACAGACGAACCTACCCAGTATCAAAACGTAATTGAAATGGTTTGATGCCGATATATTTCTATTCGCAGTCAAGACACGCCCTCTTCCACACCGTCGATACGGTTTTCCTTATTTCATCCCAGTGCCGTTGGCCCTTCCGGGTGGAAGAGGTGTGAACTATTTGTCACATGAAACAGAGTCTTTCGGTGAAGACTTGAGTTCTCGGATAAGTGAGCAAAGTCGTGATGTTGTCAATTTAGGAGATGATATACAACACACCACAGATGAACAAAGTGAATTGGTTGAGGACATCGGTAGAGAGGTGGACTCAGACGACTCCATGCCATTTCCAGCAAATCACCTGGAGGAAGATTTTCCAGATGGAGACGATGATGAGGAGAATGGCCGAAAAATCGTCTAACCTGCCATATTGTATCTCCTTATACAAAACAATTATTCACCTCAGTGTCGGTGGCTGGTGTATTTTAACGAGCCGCGAAGCGGCAAGGTAAATTTCCAACACTAGGCACCTGCACTTCGGTGAATAATTGTCTTAGTATATACTAAAACAGTGAGATAATTGAGCACAAAAATGATGATTTTTAACTCATTTACTGTTACCAACGATCTCATTACGATTTTGGCGCGCGCAATGACCGAACAGCCGCTGCGTTTTCTTGCCGACAAATAAAACTTTTGAGGGCATTTGTTTAGCTCTTTCGGGGAAATTTCGTCAAAAGAAGTTGCGAATTCTCTTTGTATTAAAAAACATTCTGTAAAAAAGAATAAATTTAGTTTAAAGCTTTTTTATGAACATGTAAGCTAAATAAAGTAACGCAAGACTGAAACTTAATTTGCATTGGTAAACAAAATCCTTTTTCACCGGTTTCATCGATAATTTTCTTGTCAAAAAGACAAAGCTTTACCTGTTAAAGCTTCCAAACCGAATTTCCTCACCTTCTTCGTGTATTTCGAGAACAGCTTTGTTTGTTGCGGTAGCAAACAGGGAAGCCATTTTGCTCGTTAATTACGGAAGATTGGCGTCACACGCTCGGAGGAGCAGGAGGTGAATCAGTGAATAGTATAGAACTATACGCCGAAGGGGAGGTGAATGGTGGTGGATATAAATACCGAGACGTGAAGCGTCGAGGTATATATCTATCACTGTTCACCGACCCTGAGGGTGATAGTTGTTTTAGTATTTACCAAATCAGTTTGATAAAAATGAAAAAACGTCACTTAGTAGGAATTTTGCTGACAATTTACAAACATTTCTGGGATATCACCACGGGCATTTTTACGATTTTGTTGCAAATTCATCACGAAAATAGTTCTACCTACATGTACCAGTGAACACCGACAAACCAAAGTTCGTCGCTGTCTTGGTATTTGCTTGTACGACTGCCTACGAACGTAGTCTTGAAAAGGACTGTTGTTGACAGTGACTGACGTTTCGACAACCTGTGCGGTAGTCGTCTCTAGAGTCAAAGTGAGTTGGAAAACGTCAGTTGATGGTATTAAACTCTAGTTATTATACTGATTGGTCAATTAAGTCGCGATGCTATTGGTCGTCTGTCAGTCAAGCCGTGATGTAATTGGATATGAAGACTTGTCATTGGTGCGTTTCGATCAGTGGATTGTCACAGTTAACTAGTCGTTTATTGTTAATCGGTTGTCCAATCATTCTCCAGTAGTTAGTTTTGCTTGAGTCTCTCCATAAGTCGTTTGTACGGTGCGGTAAAGCCGGTTTGGTAACTTAGACTGAATAAACGCCACTGATTCGTAGTCAACCGTTACTGGCACCGTACAAACGACTTATTGAGGGACTCAAGCAAAAACGAACTACAGGAAAATGATTGGACAACCGACAATTTCACTAACAATATAAACGACTATTTAGCCGTGACAGTAGACGCATGTTTTGGCAGTCCCAAGTGCAACTCCACGCTTACGCTTGTAAGTAAGCAAGTGGTTTGCCTCCGGCTAGTTGGGATTCTTTATCTTGTGGGCCCCAATTAAAAAGTCACTGGTTTACCAGTAATCGCGTTGCCCCTTTAAATTCACAGATTTTTCTACATGTAATGAGTCGATCAATCGAGTGAAAAGAACCTTCCAGTGCATTAATACTGCGGTAAGCCGGATCGGTCGGTAGGAACCTCAGTGGGGGTACCTTGTTTCCGCTGAGTGAATATAAGAAGACCATCTCAGTTGCTACGGCGCGTAACTGATTGGTAAGCTTAAACAGAATAATATACGTAGGCCTTTGCTACGTTTCCAGGAAACTTATCCCTACCCAGGAAGAATCTTAGGTGCAGCTTGACAGTATCAAATCAGGTTGTAACTTTGTTCGCGTGTTGTAGCAATGTGCCACTGAATTGGAACACCTAGGTCACGTTCCATGGAACATGTTTGAAGTTTTAGCACGGGTCAAATCTTTACTTCAACGTCCGACGGTAGCAATCTTGTTACTTGATGCTGGAATGCCACAATTCCATGACTTCCCCATGAGTTAATATCTGTCTGGAACTTGTAAGAAATTAAGCTACCTCGCCGGCCGAATATAAGATCTTTAATTTTTTTTCTCTCTCTGAACGTAAATAATTAGCAAGAAGTGACATACACTGAGCGCAGGAGCATATAGATCACAAAGAGGAATGCTCCTCTCTCCCCAATATCCCTCGCGACTCTCTCAAACTAGGACTAACCCTGTGATTTTTTTACGGCCTTTTGCTCGCAAACTAATACATTCTGGCGCGAAATGAAGAATAACAAACTGTATACTGAAATTTAATACACGACAAGTAAGTTTTATCAGTTTTGAGGAGCGCATATTAGTGAAAAAACAGTTTCCCGTTACTGCGCATGTACCAAACTTTGATTTTCTGACAGGGTGTCGCGAACTCAAAGGATGCGAGGAGGGTAAGAGAACCTTGAAAAATCCGTTTGCATCGCGCTTGGACCAGTTTGATACTACACTAAAACTTCTCAAGATTATAGATCAAGGATACATTGTCCCCGTTGAGTTTCGATTTGGGCGAAATCGGGATTTTTTGGCGTTATTTTCATTTCCGTCAATCAGAGGACAAAAAGAAGGCTGGCGCTTTAATGCCAGTTGAAGGCTTATTTCTCCCACCAGCTTCCATACAAGCTCAGATAATCGTGACAGGAATATGCAGAAATGGAACAGTAACAATAGAGGATATGTTAGAAAGAAACCATTGAGACATGGAAGTGACTGAGGAGATCCGAGGACATCTTGGCTTCGTGAAGCACACTGCTCATTGCAACGACGTGTTTTAGTAAACTGTTTATTAAACCCCCTTACGGCCGACAAAATCTAACAAACAGGCACTCAGTGTTTAGGCAAACGGGTGTAATGAAATCATAACATACAACGTCTGACTAACCTTCGCGATGCTTCATCGCCGGTTGAGATTGCTTTTTTATTCGTATTTTCGAACTTTTGAGGCTAGAGCGCGAGCAAATATTACTGGACTTGAACTTCCCACAAATTGACCTCTGACACTAGTTTCACAGCAGAAAAGCTGTAAAGTGAGTGGAGCGAGCAGTTTAGGTCGCGAGGCTATTGAGCCAACCAGAAAATCGCTAGTTAGGAGTCTTCGTGCAGCTAACCAAATTTTTAATAAGACGAAAGAATTCTTTGGAAGTCTAAAATATTACTTGAGAATGCAAACAACAAATCTCCGTCGGCGGTGCGGTCCGAAGGAAATCTTGTTGCGTCAAAATGACAGTTCTGTTGTATTTTTAAGAAAAACAGATGACGCTCGCGCGTGCGCATAATCGGGACAATGTCCCTTTAAACAGTGCGGACCATGACAATTTTGTCTATAAGGTTTTTTGCAAAATGATTGGCCGAGGGAAACCGGGCGACCTAGACCTTGTGCACGGAAATGTGCACGGCGGCCATATTGCAACGCGACAACTTCAACGTAAAAAATACACACATCATTGAATCATTGTATGTTCTAATTTTCGATATCGATTGTCATCAGCCCCCCATTCTCGCACTCCGCTAAGAACGTGCGGACTTTATCGAGCACAGCCTTTTTGACCTCGCGTGGACCTTCAACTTGAACAGTTGCGGGGATGTAAGCCCCTCCACTAGCCTGTTTATTTCTTTGGAACTTTTGGGCTGCGTTGAGAGGAACATCGTAGTATCCGTCGGTGCTCCGTTGGCAATCCTTAGAGAGAAGAGACAAACGCAGATTAAAAAAATCAGGCCGACGAATTTGAAAGCTGTTCATCAGTGCAAGTAAACTGAATAGCTTCGTTTCAGTTTATTACACAGAAAAATTTTCACACTAAGGAGATAACCGATAATTCACTTACCCTTCAATCCGCGATATCTTGCCACACTCCAGAAGGTAGGATAGCTCCCTGTTTAAAAAATACTGAATTCTGCCGATCAGAGACCTTCGCACATCTTCCAAAGTGTAACTCTTTCGCTGTAATTTGCTGTAAATAGCCATTTTCCGCAAAGGCTCCGGAATTAGTTCCACTACGACAGGGATAAGACATGCCAGTGCGAGGGGATCATACTCGGTGTAAGCTTCCTTTCTAACGATAAATGGTGTTCCAGTTGGTGCTTTAACCTTGAAATGGTGATATGTGAAAATTATGCAAATTAAACAGCGTAATCGATGGATATAAGCGCTACAGTAAGGCTTTGTTTTCTAAAGGAATTTCACACGATTGATCTCAAAGTGGCAATAACAAAACAGTGTAAAGACTGTTAGGCTTATTCAAAAGCTATTACCAAGGGAGGAACAACGCGCTACAGTAAAAAGACACACTATCTTTAGAAAATCACTAAGCTGGAGTTTACTGAGTCACAATTCAATTCTCCATGGTAAGTTGATGTAGCTTCAGTTTAAGCTGCACTTCATTCTTATAACTTTGGATCTGTAAATCACTATCCGTGATAACTGCGTTAACATTCTGCAAAGACTACGAGCTGGGCTCAGCCTGATACAGCATTGCGGGAAAAAATTTCACTCACGGACTAAAGAAAATCGCTTAGTTATTCAGATTCAGACGGCATTTTGGACAAAATTGGAACCTTTATTCAGCCGTAATAAAAAGCTTTACGCTTCAAAAGAGGTAAAAAAAATGCGCTTGCATCCGAGGGCAAATCTGCAGACCAGAAGCAATAACCACAGTAAATCGATATGTGTGTCATGACATCTCAGTGTCAAACACGCAGCTTAAATCACATTTGCTCAGTGAAAATGTAGAACCTTCCAGAGCATAATCTACCCAGCAGAGAAAAAAAACTTTATTGGAACGAGCAGCATTTTGGCATGAGGTAAAAGTCGTGGAGGCTTCCTACCCCCTTTTGTTGCTAAAGGAAAATGCATGTATGAAAGCTTATGTACGTATCTTTATTCTAAATAATTATGACTGCACAATAAATAAGTCTAAAGCCTTATTGCGATGTCATGTCTTTATCACAGCATGGCATCAAGATACAACCAATAACTAGGAAAGACGCTTTTTTCGCCACATTCAAACGACGCCATTCTTTCTAAACAGCCGACCTGTAATTCTCCTTCTGCTTGTATGGAGACGAAAAACCAAGGACTAAAACGAAAAAAGTACGACTTTCCACCAACTGAAGAGAAGAGCAAAACAGAACCTTTAGAATAGGAGAAGCTGTTACTCTTTAACAAGCAATGACGGTAAAGAGCAATACTTAGAGTCACAATCCAACTACCGTGCACTTGAACTAAACCGCCGTGCACCTGAATTCTGCTGTAATATGTTTGAAGCCTAATCATCAGAGAATACCACAGTATTTTTTTTTGGCTAAAAAACTTACCTACCTCAAATTTCCTTTTGCTTCGTAGCATGTGAGCCTTCCCGAGCTTAATTTAGGTGCCACAGTTCGAATTCGAATGCAGATTTCTTCGGCACATTTCATTCGACGCCATTTCTGATTGCTTTGAATGAAAGCTTTTCCTGTCCTCTTTCAGGGGGACTGGGACTCAAGGACCAAACAGCCGTAGACAAAAATACTGGGACAAAATTTTGGGGCGGGCATAAGTTCTCGAGAATTGTGCCAGGACGCTATTTCGATGACTCCATCATATAGACAAAATTGTCAATGGCCCGCGCTGTTAAATGGAATTTAATCGTGTTCGCTGCCCAGTAATCTTTGATCTCCTGTGAGACAGTACTTCCAGTAAAAAACCTCTGCGTCCTTTCATGGCAGGGGTATAGAGTTTATTGTTTAAAGTACAAGGCAAGTAGTTAACAGGAGCTCCGCTCTTAGGCTTGGCTAAATCAGTCCTACATCTCTTAGGACTTCATGCTGCTCGGCCTGTCTCACTATCTTATCATTCTCAACATCCCTTCATCACTTCTTTCTTGCTCTTTTTAAATCTATATAAGTATAAATTTGTTCATGACTCTGTTGTTATTATTACTATTATTATTATTTTGATGACTTTATTACTTTTTCTTCCGAACACTCTCAAAGTGAAATGCTTGAGAATGACAGAAAAACGTCATTTCTCTTTTCTCCAAAAGACTTGGCAAAAACTTTACACTGTAGCAGAGTTAACATTACTGATGTTTGAGTTAAAACCGATTTTGTAATAACATACTTCTCAGAGAAAACACATGCATTGATAAATATGATAGAAAATTGTCAAATATACCAATAGAGTTACATAGTTTGTTACATAGTTTGGCAACTATATCGCAGTATACTTCTTTGCGAGAGCGATTCATGCGAAAACACCACCGGTCAAAACTGGTGTGAACGGGTGTTTTACTCAAAAGGTTTTTCCACCTTTTTACGTTTCATGTAGGAGTTCCCACCGAGATGATTGTGCTAAAATTCTGTCAACAAGACAAGTGATTTAAAGTTTAAGCGCCGCCCAACCGCCTTACACTCCATTCCCTACTGAGGTAATTCTCGAAATCAAGCATCAGATAATTGCTATGTCCAAATTTGGAGGCCACCGTCAGAGGCTTTAATTTGTTTATCGCATGCATCAAAAGTCGCGAAAGATAATGGCGGATTCTATTATGGCATGAAATGTTTTGTCTAGAAGAAAGTCTCAAATGGTAGGTAAACCTTTAATTTTGTATAACGAAAAAAAAAATATCTTCTTTAATTTGTTGTTTTGTCGTCGGACATGACTCCTCTTTGTTTACGAATTACGACATTTTGGGTGAGAGAGAAATGTCATAATTATCAGCTCGATTATTTTTTTCTCACCTTTCCCTCCTTAGCTACCGTTAGAATTGTTATAACTCTTACTCTTGAAGAGTTATTTAAACCTTTGCTTCGTATCTTATTGTACATAAACAACTCCTGCGTGTTTGTTTTGAATGTTTTGGTGGTTGGCGTTGTGCTAAGGAAGGGTTGAATATTTATTTATTTGCACGACCTGTGCATCCTTAATCGTCCTATTGACTTTGTACGCGACCCGAACATTAAGTTTGATTTGTGCTTTATAACATAGCATTTCACTATGTTCTGTAAAGTTTGTTCAAATATGAATATGGAGTTCGTGCATTGTATGCAGTAAAACGCAAGTCAAATGTAGATGTTGAATCTACTTTGCACCGCCTGATGAAACAATTGTACATGGCTTTTACCAGTACTTTGAAATTGATATTTTGCGCGGCAGCTGAACGGAAGAAAAATTCAAAGTATAAGACAACCGACGAAATAGAAAAAGAAGGGAGCCTTTTGTTTTTTTTAGCGCCAATAAACAATTTTGTATTTTTTCTTATATCGTTAGATTAAAGTTCCAATAATTATTAATAGCTCTTTCGTATCTGTCCGTTATGTGAAATTTGTCGTTTGAACAGGGATAAAATAGCCAAATTTTATCAAAAAACTTTTAGAGAAAAGTGTTGTTATTTAGCTTAATAATATTTATACATAAATATGTCCATACATAGCTGAGTTTTGCCGTTCACTTGTTTTTATAATCTTGAAAAGTACCACCGGCAAAATTAGTATCAACTTGTTGACGCGTTTAAACAAAACAATTAACCGTTTAACTCTTTCTAGGTCTACAAAAAAATCGTTCCAGTCCTTGATAGAAATTAGTTAGCTCAACTCAATACCAGACTATTGAAAAATTAGAAACTAACGCAATGCGGTCAATATTTTTAGGGCATAAAGCATGTGAGGGAACGCCAAGGAGTCATTGACTGTAATGAATAATTTACTGGGCTTTTTGTCCTTACTGCTGGTGGAATGGCCCCTAAGTGGATCAGGTAAAACAAATCATTACTTCAAAAGTTTGGGGAAGACATCTGGCATTGTATCACGATTGATGCCATGTTTGACATTTTTTAAAAAGGTAAACTTTTTAGTTGAGATGTTTACTCTCCAACACGAGCAAGCATCAGTGTTGAGTTTAAATGCTAAGGAGTAACCTTTGCTACGGAGGGCAATAATGGAAACCCTACAGTCATAGCAACTTTTGTTCAGCCTTCGCTATTTCGGAAAGTAATTCCCTTGGGATGAATGCACTGTGGAATCACAAACACAGTACTATAAAGGATGAAGTGAATTTGGGTGGTGGCTAATCTTGAAAGAAAAGTGAAAGAACAGAAGCGGAAATAACAGCATGATTTCTGATCGCAAGATATTTAAGTGTATATCTTACGGCTAAGAATGAAATACCTCTTCTGATCCAACAAATTCCATTATCCACTAGGCCATTTCCGAGCTGCCTCGAACTTTTTTTTTCAAAACGAGGCTGCGTGCACAGCGTTTGATATGATTGTGATTCATATTCTTATGCATTTAACAACAATTTGACCTGACTGATTTTTCCTGAGACCAGAGAGAAGAGCTATTAATAAGGTTAAAATGACATAAATCTCTAAATGCAGTACAGTCACTGAATCACGAGATTTGATTCCCTCACACCGTTGAAAGCTTAAGATTCTAAAATTTCTGGCATTACCACGGCAACATGATGCTTTAACAGAAGAAACCGGAAAATAGGGACCGGTCATTATTTATCCCGGGGGGGGGGATATTGGTTGAGACAACGGAGCACCTACGTGGTCCCCCCTTAAAGCATACAGTGTGGTTTTGATCCCCCGCATTGGCGGTGGGAGATTTCATGATCCCCCCTCTTCTATCCCAGCCACCACAGAAAGCCGCCAGTGTTAGTGCTGCCAAGATGCGAAAGCACGCAATTCTATAATTTGGACGCTCTGGACCAGCTACAAGTCCTGACGAAAGACACGGCATCGCCAGAAAATGAGTCATGGGAACAATTTCTGCTTCCTAACTCACATACCGATAGGTTGAAGTTTTACAACAGTGTTGTTAGGTAGATTTATGAATCTTCTATTTGTAGCAAACAAGCCGGATTCAAACAGTATCTCCTTGAATAACAGCAAATGCGCTGGCAGTTAAACACAAAAGTAAAAGATAGGGAAAACAACCTTCTGCGAAACGAGAAGTGGGGAGTATATCAAAATATCACAAAATTCATTGCAGGCGTGGATGGTTGCAAGAGTAGCGATGACGTTGTCAAGTGTGAGTCCTTCTTGACCACTAAAAGTGACACCTTGACATCCTCGGCATATTTGTTATCATTCATCGACAATCAAGCGAAAAGTCTTTTATAGAGAAGATCATTCTCCAAAACCCTTCTTCGACGAGCTGAAATATTTTCAGGAAGCTCAAAAACGAGTAAAGGTGCTCCACGAAAAACTTCAAGAAGTCTCAAATAAGCTGGCAACAACCCTAATAAACCTGAAAAGGAAGTTTCCATCTCGCATTGGGAAAGATCGACAATCAAGAACAATAGAAAGGTGAAAAACCTAAAGGAGAAGCGTTCACAACAGAGGGCATACTTGCTTCTCAAAAGTACTCACCTCAAGAGAGGAAAGGTGTTTAATGCAATCAAAACTAACAACAGTTTTACAAGCATCACTCTAATCATTTGTTGATATACTATGTATCTATTTCTTACTTCCGTTGTTGTAATTTGTAATGACGGTATGCCGCCACGTTTATCGAAGGTTCTTATTACAGGGATACCTTTCAATGACTCTAAAGAATTTAAAACATGGAAATTTGTGGACATTTAAACTATAGAACGTAAACACTTTTTAGCATCACGTTTAATACATACGCACAACCACTGACTATTTCATTATATTAGTCCGTGTCTGAACAAGGTCATCGAAAAAATAACCGCTTCAAATAATTTTTGCCTTTTCTTTCCTCGTCCCCTCTTAATGCCTGTCAATTATCTCTGTTCTCTTGAAAATCGTGTGATCCCCAAAATCCTCCGCCCCCTTCAGGGCGACAAATAATGACCGGTCCCTAAGTGTTCATTTAAAAGAAGGAATTTAATTCGCAGTCATGTTTTTTCTTGCAGTTGCACTACCACAACATGGACCGTATCTAAGTCCAAGTTACCAAAGATCTTCAAGGGTCAAAAGCGAGATTCAATCTTATCCGCATAATTCTGTTACACAAAGACTTCCAAAGGCTAATCCGTGGGGTCGCTATGGGGTTTCTCCTTGGACATCACATGGAACTTACCTGGATAAAAACTATCTCAAAAGTATCTCAAAGAAGGCTGATTTCCGTACCCATAAAACTCTAGCCAATACTAAAAACGCGGCATCTCGGTTGTATTGGAAACCACAACTAAGACAAAGCATGTTTCCTTTGTCAAATGAAAGAACAAAGAAAACGAGTATTCCTCATACGGGAAGATCGTTCAGACTTAGACCCACCATTAAAAAGACAACGCTTTCTCCAGAATCACGTTGGGCAAGAAACCAAGTAGACCGTAAAAAGAAGAAAAAACAGTTCATAGTAGCAAACTGGGGTGGCTTAGGACTTGGAAATGGTTATGCACTTGGGTTAACAGGGACGCCAACGGCCACGTATAGCGCGGGACTCGGAACGGGTTACGGGACGGGTCTGACTACAGGTCTTGCCTCTAATTACGGCGCTGGGATTGGAACTATGCTTGCAACCGGGACAAATTCCTTGGGTTCAGAGGGAGTCTTAGATACCCGGCAGAATTTTGGCACAAACTACGGTACGAGCAACAGCCAAAGTTCTCTGGGATTAAGCGACCTTTCTGCAGCAGGACTTAGCTCCTTGACATCCCAAACGGGAGTAAATTATTTATCGAATTTAGCTGGAGGAGGAGAAACATCTGATTTAAATTCTTTGAACTCCATAAACCAATACCAAAACAGTGATTTGGATATCTTGGATAATAATAGGAATTCAAATACTGGATTAGCCGGGCTTAACTCTTTCGATGGAACTGCACAGAGTCAACAATATGCTGGGAACAATAATCTGCAAAACTCTTTGGAAGGGAAACTTACTGTGGGTGGTGGAGGAAGACAGGGAATTGGAGGATGTAAGTTCACATGATTTTTTCATTAACTCCTTAGTCGTTTTTTGCAGTAATTTATGAATCGGTACAGTAGAACAGATAAATTGCAAGAAGGGGAATCCGAGGCCAATGTAGGCCCTACCTTGTGCACAGATACATTCTGTTGACTAGACTAAAGTGGTTTTCAATGTATCGTCCTTACTAATAATTATGATAATTATGATAATGATAAATTTTTACCACCCTAATAGACCTTTTTAGATTTTAGGTCGTATTTTCCCAGTTAAGACCACGTGATGTTCTCAAGAGAAGTTGCCCTTTTCATGCGTTACGCACACATAATTATGCTGGTGTGGAGCGCGTCATTTGAAAGAATCAATTTTCTTAGGTAACGTCACCTGGTCTGCATTGAACAGACAAGCTTAAAAGGTACATTAAAGGGTATCGTCCCTTGAAAAACGCTATGACTAATTAGTTTGCACTCAAGGATTTGGATCTTGATAACGTATCTCAATCTAGGAGCAACTCTGAGCATTACAAATTTCATAGCTTTCATAAACGTTTTATAACTTTCTATCTTAAGTATAATTTGATGAAGGTGGCACCATTTTAAATACTGAAACTTGTTATTGCTTTCAAACAGCAATGGATCTTGGCATGGATGGATTAAGTGACCTTGGTGGAGGCAACAGCATGTCTGATAGCTCCCTGCAGCAGCTCATAGGGCAAATAATGAACACTGGTGGAGGAGGAGGGGTAGGGGCTGGTGGAGGGAGAATGGGAGGGGCACGTGTAAACGACAATAGCGACAACATGGAAGGGGACATGGGAAATCTTGACCTTGGATCACTCGGAATTAATCTTGGGGGAATGGGAAATAAGCAGGGAAATGGAATGGGAAACGCAATGGATAATGAGATGCAAGACCTCGGAGGGATAGAAAATAGCATGGGAAACGAGATAGGTGGTATGGGAAACGCAATGACAGGAATGAGTAATGGAATGACCGGAATGAGCAATGGCATGGGAGGAATGGGTAATGGAATGGGAGGAATGAGTAATGGAATGGGAGGAGTGGGTAATGGAATGGGAATAGGAGGTGCCGGAATAGCCATGGGGATGGGAGGTATGGGACATGGGATGCACATGGGAGGTATGCATATTGGTGGGCATGCTGCAGGGACTATGGGAGGCCAGGATATGACTAACACAGAGGTGAGTGAAATAAAGCAAACACTCAGCGAGACTACAAACGTCTATTTTACGATAAAAGAGCCCTGCTAAGTTTAAAACTGTGACGGAATCGTCAATTGGTCAAATATGCTGATACGCAGAGCAAGGGGAAGGGGAGAAAGGTGGTTGCCTCTACAAAAATTTATATTCTAAAAAGAATGTTTCAGCAACAAGTGACAGAAGACATTTCTGATGTCGTTATATATGGTCGGTAACGAAAGTACAATATTATAGTTTTATAAAGGCGCATTTTTAAGGTGACTCTTTCAGCGCTGCTTTAAGACATGGCCTGAACAATCCTTCCTTTTCCTAAAATAGCCGATGGGTTACAAGGAAAAACACCCGCAAATAATTCATCTTTACTTTGTGTCTGTCATGTGTTTAAATACCCAATAATCTAATGTGTTACTATCCCAATAAAGGCTAGTGACAACTATGAACGAGGCATCCAGTTTTTTGGTTTTCTGTCCTGTGTATTTGGATATATGTCACGTGAATATTGCTGTCTTGGATCAATTCTGTGCTTAGGCAGTACTTAGTGCCTTTTCCCATTCCTAAAATACTCCTGGAGAAGATATGAAACAAATTTCACCAGGAAGCACTAACCTTACAGCTGATTTCAGTGCGGCGTATACACCCTGATTTTTAGACATGATTCGACGGTCATGATTCGACCGTCATGATTCGACCGAGAGGTTACCAAGCAGTATAGTATTTATCCTTGAGTATCCTACAGCAATCAAAGCATACAATCTGAAAGTTACTTTGATGATAGCTTGAATATTTCTCTTGTAACGCAGAAAAAGAGGACTGTGATCCATAATTTTTTCTCCTTTTCCGGGATAACAGCTTCTCATACAGTCACGCAATCTAATCGCAATACATGTTATCGGGCGTGTGGACGTCTCGATCAATAAGTTTTTCGGCTCTTTTCTCAACTTGTTTTAGGCTTTTACCCTGATCTTTAAGGAAATATCATATTTTACCCTTTTCCAAAAAAAACAAATTTTGCTTTCTTTTATGTATGGTTTTCTTTATTTGTGCTTACTAGGGTCATAGGTCGAGGATCGAACACCGTGATATTTTTCAACGGTCGACAAAACAAAACTTTCAAACCCTCCAGCAAATTCTTTCACAACGGCAGACTGATCAATTTATCTGTTGATTTCTTCGGCAAAACGTCAAGGTTTCCTGTTATTTTTTAACCCTGCAGAAGCTAAGTAAGGACGAAAAAGTACCAACTTGAAGAAATACAAATTTGCCTCCCTGTTAACTAAATTTGCATCACTGTTACATGTAAATTGCGGGTGGTATTCACCAACGGCAAAACACCGAAACCTTGTCATACGGAAGAAGACAAACGATTAACCGTCGGACTATTTCGCTTTTCGCCGTGTTGATAATATTTCGTCCATTATGAAATCGCCTACAGAAATACATTCGGACTCGGCAATCGAACTCCAGGTTTATCACCTGATCAAATGTTATCATAATTTCTGTATCATGTCGCTGCTTTCCAAGCAACAAAGCTTTCCTCTTCAGGTAAAACGCATTTGCCGGGATTCTAGCTTCGTTATACTTATGTCCTTTAGTGTTAAGCTTTCCAGCCAGATTTTTCTCTCACTGTTTCGGATCCCACGGCAGAACTCTCAATTATTTTCGCGACCGTTTACGTACTGCGAAGCGATACGTCACGTGATTAGTGTCGAATCATGACAAGTGGAATCATGACCGTCGAATCATTTCTGAAAATCCGGGTGTATACATAGCAATGAAATCAGCTGTAATCATTTTGTGTTGTTTTTTTTGCAAGGATAGCATTAAAACGTTAATACGTTCGCCAATTTAACCCTTGTCCATCCTTACCATAATTAGCAACAGCAGACAGGAAACAGTTTCAATGCCTACATGTACTCTTAGATAAAAAAAAGGACCGTTATTTTTGGAAGTCACTTCAGGAATGCCAAGACACGTTTTATTTTTTTAAAAGATAGCAAATAGCCTAACATGACCCTTTAAGATACCAATCGAGTGACACAAAAAGTTTGAAGTTCACATTTAGATACGTTTTTTACAGTTCCTAAGCAGTGATTCGTGTGTTTTATTGTTTATTAATCAGGCAGACGATGCACAGCCGTCTGACTCCCCTGATGAGCAGCCTATGACAGGTTTCGGCATGCAACGTCCACTGGCCATTGCGCCTATCGTACCTGGACAAACTGTGCATGCGCACGCTAGTGACAAGCCAAAACGACCATCCTATCCGACATCCGACGTCTCACCAGCAGATATGGCATTGAAGGTTCAACTTAAAGCACATAGAGAACATCAGATAAAACTTAAGGTGAGATATAATGGAACGGCATTTAATTTTTTTACGGGTGGCCAACGCGACCGTTGTAAAGTCTGCCGAGTGTTGGCTATTTCCTACGCCGAGTTGTTCAAAGCTGGGTTAAGATTCAGGGCGGAAAAATGTAATGAGCGTGCGTGAACTTTTTTGCCCAGATCCCATGGCCGGGTTTGAAAATATGGCGGGATTTCAAATATTTTTAAGCCTAAAAATAAAATGTTTCCACTCATAACCTGGAAAGAACAAGCAATTTGTCTTCAAATGTTGCAAGCTGTGGTTACAACCTTCTCATTACTTAATTTTCTCGAAGAATACCTCATGGTAAAACGGACTTTAACGACATTAATTTCCTTGCGTTGTACTGAGCATGCGTAGGTCCGATTTTTTTCAAGATGTATTCACAAAATGTGTTCATATAAGGAAGTTCCTGGATATATAAGGTCCGGAGCTCCACTGTGGACACAGAAACAACATATCTTTGTACAGTGATTTGCCCCCAAAAATTAACGCTTGCCCACAATGTGTTTGAAGTCACCTAACTTTGTCGCACTCGAGCTGATAGTTTAAAACCCACGCTCGATCGGACACTTGTAGCTTCGCAGATGACTAAAATATAAACAAAATCCTCAATATAGATTAGTTATTGCGTTGATATGTGGGCAGAAATAGGTCAATCTTTATCTAGTAAAATCTTCCCAAAAATCGGTTTCAAAGTAACTATAGTTTTTTAAACTTGATCGTTTCACGCAGATTTTGCTTTGTCGTGTTGTCAAGTTGAACATGCATCACACCTGTCAAAAACCTAGCTACGCGTAGGTAAGATTTCCTTCAAACAACGTTAAAGTTACTTTGTTGCAAAAACTTTAAGCTCGCAAAGAGATGAGACAAGCAAAGAACAATTCCATCATGCACAAAATTCAGCTTAAGTGAACTTTGAAAAAAGCTTCAATTGTGTTCGATAAGGTTGCAAAACAACAAATTATCATTAAAAAACATAAGGCTAGAGACTCTTGGCTGACAATGACATTGAAATTTCTGTACGAAAACAACCTACCTAAAGATCTTAAAAGCAAAAGATCAGTTGGAAGCTTCGCAGCCAAGCTATGATTCACCGTTTAGCCATTTTTAATAACTGGTCCATGCGAGGGTCTTCATTCAAGCAAATTAAACTCACCAAATCATTAGGAAGTACAGAAAACTGCACATAAGGGTTTGTTTTGCAAACAACTGTTTTGAAGTCACTGCAGGCAGTTGTCGTTCTCTACTTCACAGCGAGTGAAAAGGAAAATTTGCGTAGAGAAAGAAAACAAAACTATTAAATGAAAAATAAAAAAAAAAAATGAAACCTCTGACTATGATTACTTGAGCAACAGAAAAAGGATCGAGTGAAGGTAAATTAAAAAATCTGGGCAAAAAAGTAACCGTTACTACTAATAACAGAATACAAGCGGGTTTTCATTCAGCCCGGCGATGGGAGGCGAAGCACTGGACACAAAATCAACTCACAACTCGAATGCACAATTAACAGAAAAATACTCTCCTCTTTGAAAATGTTCAAAATGTTTATTCCACCTCAGACTGACGGAATGATCCGTTTTTCCTTTAACATTGGTTGTTCTGAATCCAAAGTAATTTTCAAGTGACGAAAAACAACAAGACCAACAACAAAAAAAAAGAATAAAAATGCTTTACAGACCTCTACAAGGAGCAAACGTTCGCACCTCGTGCATTTGACAAAGAAAGGACGGTCGACACGGCCAATCAACACACAGAAAAGCCCGCCGTGAGCCTGCGATAAGGGATGCGCAGAATCTTGCGCAGAACGTTTTTCCGATCTGAAGGGTTAAGATAAAACAGGGTTAGTGCGAGGTTTAGATTCAGATTTGAAAGCTTAAGAAGCATTTTAGCTTTAATTCTTTTTGTCTACAAGTTGATGATTGGAAGTTCTAAAGATAACAGAGAAAATTATCCAAGAAAATGCTTTTGAACATAAGAAAAAGAAACCAGGTTAAATTTAACCCCGGGTTAATCACTAATCGGCCTTCGAACAACTGGGCTGGGTTACAATGTTAAGGTTTTAACTTTTAAATTTAAGAGTTTTAAATTTGTTGAAAAAGGGTTACCTATTTGTATAGTTCTATTTAAACAGGACTTTCATTTTGAAAGCTGTTTAATTTTAAAGTGTGACTTCACTCGAACTGCTAAATCATTTGTGTAAAGCCTGAGAGTTCCCTGCTAGCAGAGAGTTCTCTCATCACGGCACGAGAAAATGACAGACAGAGAGAGACCTCTGCAGGCCCCCAATGTGTTATCTATCACGCGTGTACATACATGTACTGGCGTTTCTTTAACAACCAGCAACATTTTAGTCATTTGCGAGACAACTTACAGAACCGGTTTGCGCCATAACAACTGTACGTGGGATCAGAAATTTTCAGGTTTAGTCTCAACAGGACACGTGCATTCCACCTTAAGCAAAACACTTTGAAAACCAGCAACTGTCTACCACAAATGTGGTCGGCGACTACATGAAAGAAACACGTCGAAGACCGGCAGAGGTCTCTCACTTTCCTCTCCTTCTTCTCTGGCCGTGAGAGACCTCTGCCAGCGGGGAAGCCTGAGAGCAAGTTCTCTTTTGTTTTGGAGAGGGAATTGGGTCAGAAAATTTGTATACAATACTGGCATTTAATCTGAGAAAAAAACATCCTATTTCTCCAAAGGAATTGAAAATGAAACTTAGAAGGCTTCGAGAAAAATTGCGGAGATTAAAAACTGAATACAAATATAGTGATGATGAGGAAGAAACGGAAAAATCAGAAATGGAGACACTAAAAGACCTGAAGAAAGCCACCGAGCAGGCGATCAGGGAACTTCAAGTGGAGGCCGCTAAAGCTGACAAAAGAAAAGGTTGGTTCATTTGAAAAAAAAAAACAAAAACAAAAACAAAAAAACAAATGATTTGTTATCACGCGTTCTTGATGTTTTGATTTTTTAAAGTCTTCATCTTTAGACTGAATTGGTGGCCGAACTTTTAACTGGTTTTTAGACAAGGAGAGAACATTTTTTATTCAAAACGTAGTTTAACCCTTCTAGTCACCTCAGTGCGAATTGAAATTATTAGAAACAGAGGAAAATCAGGAAAAAATGAGTTTTAAATTTCAAGTGCTTGATAACTGGTAGATATTTTATTCAAATAAAAATAAAATAACTTGAGTGATAAGATAAACGATTTGCTTGATTTTTAGCTTGCTACTGTTTTATCATTACAATAGGGTTACATAATTGGTTTACATTGTATTCCTTTTTTAGTAAATCTTTTATTGATAACAAAGCTAATTATAAAAAAATCCTATTTACAATTAATTTCACTATTCAGTCAAAGCACAATTTACATTATTCCTTTCCTTAATAATAATAATAATAATAATAATAATAACAATAATAAAACCTCAAGTGTCATTATCACGAAGGAAAATCGTTTTCACTATTATTCATTGACACTACCTTATTACTCACAAAATAATATTGTCCAATTAATTAAAGAAGATAAAAAGAGATAGTACAAAGATAAACACTACCTAATTCTAATTTATTTTTAAAAAACCAATAAAATGTTAAAGTTTAAAATAAATTTCAATTTTATCCCTTTTAACGACAGGTGTCAAGAAACTGATATTCATTCATAATGTTCCTGAATCAGGAAAGACAAGTGGCCTGGAGGACCTGGGAACGGACTTGCTGGCTCTTATTGAGTCAAACAAACCAACCTCCGGACCCACCGCTAATGGCCCTTCTCGTTCAAGGCCTCTTGCTCTTACACCGGCTGCTCCAGCAACTCAGAAAGCTCAAAAAAAGGGGCCCATCCAGGACGATACAAATTCACTCACAGAACTTGAAAAACAGGCTGAACAGGAAGTGAATTTTATGACAAACAACAAAGACAAAGGTATTGTGTTTTTAACACTTTAAGCTCCCTGTGAAAGGTTTTAAGCTCATTTCACAAACTCTATTTCTTACAAGGGAGAGAATGCCATTTAAGTTCGAAAGGAAATAATTCTTTTTAAGACATTCACTGAAATTTTTTTTAAAACATTCACTGATGTTGAAAAGAGGTTAGTTTACTTCTTCCCCGCTTGTTATTTTTGCCCTGGCATGATTACCTAATAGACCTTGTCACGGTTTTCGACGCCATCTTGACGAGTAGGAAAATGCGTGAGAAATTACAGTGTTTGTCTGAGAATCTAATGTCGAATAATTTCCTTAGAACGGCTGTTCTGAAAAAGAATATGAATTGTAAACTAAAGCTTAATTCCTAAGGATTCTACTGAAAAAATTGACCAGAGGGCGTTACTTGCGCTAGAAGACCTAGAACCACTTTTTAAAATTTTCTATACATTTATCTGTAAGAAAGTCCCGGGAAAAATTACAGGAAAATATATGGAAAAACTAAAGCAAGCCTCTGGAGAAATTTAACACAGGTACGCCCCAAAAATGTATAGCACAATCCTTTGTTTTGTAGCTTTAGTTTACAAGTCAAATTTTTTTCAGAACAGCCATTTTAGGGAAGTTATTCGACATTAGATTCTCATACACACACTGTAATTTCTCACGCGTTTGCCTATTCGTCAAGATGGCGTCGAAAACCGTGACAAGGTCCATTGGGCCACGGCCTCAAGCAGTCCAGTTTCTCTTTCCCGTGAATTTTTTGTGGACGTTTATAAACCCAAGCATCGATTTGAGGATGAAAAGTCTCTTCTGGTGTTCTGATCGGCTGGGTTTACCACATGCTCTATTTTACAGCTGTTTTTGTAATAACAATACCTATCACGATGCTACTTGTTTCAGAGAATCACCGTTTACACAACTTCAAAGGGCATGTGCATGTATGCCCGTACTAACACCTGATTTTTCCATTTCTATCGCCATTGCATTTTTCACTACTAATGTCACAGCCGTAACCGATATCATTATCATAATCGCACCATGCCAACTTGAGCCAATACCTATCCCATAATATGCACATTGCCATTTCTTTGTATGTATCATCATCGAACTGTCTCTATTGTAATTGCCATGATCTTTACAGTAACCAATGACACTAATTCAAACGTATTGGCGTTAGCATTAGCATTAGTTACAGTCAAACCAAGTCAAGCGTACCCCCCAAGATTCTATTCATAAATTGATTTTTTGAAAAATGAACCCGTTAGTCGTTCCCGTAACTGGTGTCAAATTCAAAGCGACATTTCTGCATGCGTAATGAGCAGTGAATATTTTACGAGAACTTCTCTGTATTTGGTCAGATTGGAAATCTTTGAATGGATTAAACTTCTTAGAAGACATTTACATCAATTTCAGGAAAATGGAGCTGGTAGAAATTTCATAACTGCCTCGCGTGTAAATTCACGGCTCTTTACACATGCAAGAATGCACAGATCAATCTGAAATCTACAACTAGCAACGGATTCAACTTTTGAATAATAAATTCATTAATGGATTCTTGGGGGGTACGCTTGACCTGGTTTGACTATAAAATAATGCATATGCAATGCCAATACCATGGCTACTATCATTTACTTAGCATTCGCATTCCCATCGACATTACCGATGGTATTATTATTGTCACCGTCAGTAACAGCAATTCATAAACATTCCAACCATTACCATTGTGGTTCCCGTTACTCTCACCATTCCTATTAGGATTACTATGAATTTTAGCATAAACATTACCAATGCCATCCCCATTATCATCAACTTCACTTTTTTTCTTGCTGGAAGCCTCACCAAATACAATGAAACCAGGATTAGATATAGAAATTCCTGGTAAATACATAAAGCCTTTCGTCATTATGATATTAGCCATACAGACTGTAATACTATCGTCATGACTAAGGAGTCCGAAAAGGTACTTTTTTTCAAATTTCAATTCCACAGCTAAACAGAATAGGCTGAATCCAGGACTAAAAATTAAGATTCCAGGTAGGCAGTATGCATTAGTGTATCCTTGATCTTGCCTGTATATTCTGTCGCGGAATCCTTATCAACTCAATGAAGTTTGACGTTCTGCACGTGATTAGGATTTGGAAAACACGTAAAAAAAAAATCCTGAGACAGGGAAAATGAGCTCCCTTTAAGCTCCCGCGACAACGGCCTAATAATCACTAGATAACGATCCCGCGAAGGAATCAAAAGTTTATGCTTTACGAGGAGGTGACCAGTTCTTGATCAATGCAGTTTATAGGTTGTCACACAGGGAGTGCGACAAACAAGAGAAAATAACCTTGTAGTGGATTCAGGTTGACAGACCTATTTTGGGCCCCGATGTTCAGATCATCTCTAATTACAATCCCACTCGCCAAAAAAATTAAGTTGAACGTTCGGAAATGCGTCCTTTGCAAAACTTCGTTCTTTCTCAATCAACTGTCACTTAATTTGCAGAACCGGTAGAAGTATCTCCAAATCATAGTGCAAGTAAGTAAAACGTTTTTAGACATAGTGTTAAATCAGTTAAGGAACCTGGTATTAACTTATTTTCAAAGAAAGGTTAAAATTAAGAATCAGCTTCAGTTGGCAGAGTTCTCGCCACAAAACAAGTCAAGTTAGTTTTGTCAACTTAAAATTTCAATAAATCTTTTAAACAAAATAAAACATCATGAGGCTTTTGATGCAAAAAATTACGCTGACAAAAATGCTTACTGTTCCGAGAAAGTTTCTCGCCGAAATTTTGGCAAATGAGCTACAAAACTGAAACTGAAAAGACCGTCACGGTCTATTCATTAAAAAAATAATTCACAGCCCCCACTTTATTGACTCTAACTAGCCTTTTGTCTTCCCCTAATTGAACATTTTTGCCGGAAGAAATACGTTGCCATGTTACATGTTGCGTTTTCCTCAGAGTAAAAATAACAAGAATAGTTAGTTCAGGATCTTTGTAATAGTAAATCGTGCTGGCAGGGAGAAGGAAAAGTGGGCGGCTATAGTGCAAAATACAGCAACATGATATACACTACTTTCCATACGGATGGAAAAGAATTCATCAAGACTGACTGACTGCTAATCTTGTCACTAAAGGTTCCAAAGCAGCAGACATCCGCATGCATGTGTTTGGGGCACAAATTGCCTCACGAAGAAATGGATATCGCATGAGTCCAAGTATGCATCAGAAAATTATCTAATCAAGAAATCCTAATAATAAAAAGGGATTTGAGAAAGCTTATAAGATCGACGTTTTTTTGGGCCAAATAATTTTTGTATATTTAAGCTAGACCAAGTAAGAGCCAATTAAAATAACTTGACATTTTCATATCTTTCGACTTAAACGTTCGTCATGAGGAGAATTGACGACAAAAAAGGAAAAGGAATAATATCCCCTGAAAAAGTTATAATTGTTGTGTGCTTATTTTCCGTACTGGAAAGAGACAACTTTCCCTTTTGTTAAGTAGAACAGAGTCAGTAAGGACCAAAATTTCAGCCACTTGCTGTTGCCGTCGTCTGCCATCAGTAGGGATATCTGTAATCGGAAGTTGCGAACTCACTCCCAAAACCATTTTATTATAACATTATATCGAAACACACAATCCCTAACAGGTGCAACAACGGTATATAAACAAAATTAATTTTCACTGAAGTATTTTTGAGAACGTGAAAACCAACTTCTTCGCGTTCACAAAACAGCAACAACAAACGGCAAAAGTGAAAAATGGCGGGAAAATTTATCGCTTGGTTTTCTCTGCCGGTTGTTCAGTTGTAAATGTAATTAGCTTAATCTCATCATCCCGCGTCCACTACCGCTAAATCTCCACATGTTAAAGATGTGTTTTAATTTACATGCAGCTCCACACTTGAGTGTACCTTTAAGACCAAAAGTAATAAAAACACCAGGAGGCCAGCGCCTACTTAATCCACTTCAGCTGAACAACTTGGCACAAATATTACCAGGTATACCTAACTTCTATCGCGCGATACAAGTAAGGTAATTAGAGCATAGAAGTGCCCTAAGGTTTGCTTGCAACTTTATTTTTGTTACCTCAGTTGCTAAATCCAGGTTTGACAGCAGATTTCTTCAATTTGAAGAGTCTTGTTCTCATCGATGCAATGATGTAACGGGAAACGGGAACTTCCCATTTCCCGTGCTCGTTCGCTGTTGCCTTCGCAGTTCTACGTTTCCGGGGAAAACGTTTTGATCAAAGGTAAAATAAATAGAGGAGAAAGTAAAAACACAGGCCAAAAAACCTTACTAAAGATTGATCAAGGGCTTCGTTGGTATTTTGCACTGAAAAATAGTCGAAAAGTGTCATTCAACTATGGCGATGAATAGAACACTCTGAAAAGATTTGCGGAATCGAAATTCACAGGTATATCGTTCACCCAGATATATTTACCATAGACTACCAAGACGTCGCCAAGAGTACCTAGTAAGCTACAGGAAGGAAAGTCAGATACATAATGAGAATATTGCATTTTACTCTTCCGTTCGTGTAGTATTGGGGAGCCAATATGTGGCATTACTGAGAAGTTATTGATATTACAATTATAAGCAAGTAATGTCAAACTGAGAAAATGCTTAAAAAAGTTCCATTAAAGAAGTTGACCAAAGATATCGCAGTGAGGTCCAATAAATCGATGCAAAAAGATGACTAACCGGCTAAAAAACTAAGGTTAACAAATTAAAGTAAACAGTAGTTTTAAGAATACTGTTTTTTTTTTAGATAATATCCATACCCGGGGTGATCCTCTTTTTGTCTTGGAATTGATATAGGAATTTTCTGTTATACTGTATTTCAGCGCCTGTGGATAATTCAAGAGATAGGAAATTCCATCCCTCTCGACCACTCAGTAAGAGAATACTTTCCCTTTATACCTACACTAGTTAAAACATTCTTGTGGCACTTTGTTTTGGGGGTTTGAAAAAGTACAAGGAAACCCGACTCCACCAGCTCTCCAAAAAAAATTACGCTGTAATTATACAAGGGGTGATGAATGGTCCATTAAAATTTTTAACTACTCGCAAAATTGTACCTTTGCTCGATTTGCTCGCAAAATTTTAAACGAGTGCTCGCTTGTTCGTGCTCCCAAAATTTTTGCAGTTGCGCACAAGCAACTTTGGGTTAAAGTAAATGTAACTCTGTATGATGCTTAATTCCTATAAATATGGCTATCAAGTTCAGTGGAAATGAACGCCATAAATGACAACGATAAATAATAAATTAGCTAATCTAGCTATATATGGTTGTTCCATATGGTTGTTTTTCTTGCGTCCTTTGCTTTCTGATCCGTACGAACACGTGCATGATATGAAGTAAAGCGGAAATGTGACGTCATTTGGCATCAAACGCGGCTGTAATTGGTTAGATCTCGATAAGGTGTCACTCAAACTCATCTTCAAAGAACTTGGTGCGCTCTAAAGTAAAACCCCGTTTTAAAATATTTTCTGTTTTATTTTAAAGAAAAGGATTTCCATATGGATTGCTGCAAGCGGAAAATATAAGAAGTGCTCGCTGCTCGCGAGTTGTACTCTCTAAACTGCTCGCTGCTCGCAAAGCAAATTTTTTATTTCTGCTCGTGCTCGCAAAAAAATCGCAGTGCTCGGCATGCTCGCGGATGCTCGCAAAGACCATTCGTCACCCCTTATACAGTTGTCTGAAAATAAGGTGTTGGTCATAATACGGAGAGCGAATCCGACCGCAAACTGCAGTAATTAGATAGGACTCTAGGACGGCATTTTATTTTCAGATGTAACTCCTGCAAAAATGAAAGAATGCTAAAAAAATATCTTTTATATCGAAGCACAAAGGAAGCTCCATCTTATAATGTTATTGGAGAAACTTTCAATCAAAAGCATGATCTGGCACAATTCAGATTAAAGCTATAGCCCTACATGGTAATCGTAAAAAAGGCTTGTTTATCTCTGACAGATGGATCAAGAAGAGTTTTTCACCCTCCAGGTCAGTATCGAGCGTAATTTTCAACACTTTTAACTTGCAATAAGTTATAGTAGTATTTTGTGTGACAAATGTCCGTGAAATAATGGAATAATGGGCATCACCAGGGCTGTATTTTTTATGAGTATGGAAAATGAGTTATAACACCTTAAACGATGTCAGTTTAAGGGCTATTTGTATTGGTAAACATTAAGGCGCACAAGGGTAGAAAGGTCCACTCGACGGAGTTGAACCCGAATTCTTTAAGATAAAACACCCAAGAATATTACCACACTCCCTGGATGGAACGCGATGCCATGGCAGGGTAACCTTCAGCAGTGTCCGCTGTACTCGCAGGTGAAGAGCGAATATGTCAAGCAAAGTTTCAAACGTGAGGAAAAAACACAACGTTAGTACTTGAGTTCTGGGCGTGAACTGCTCGACCACCTTTAATTTCTGTTAGTTTAGGGTCAAATTTGATGAGCTACGTGAAACGGTAAATTTATCCTTTAACTAACATCTTTTCTAAATGTCAAAAGTATATATGCTTCCAGTGTGGTTGTTGAGGCACAGCCTCTGATATCTAAGTAAACCATTTTTCAGGTACTTGTAGCAGTGTATCGTTATCTGAAAGCAGGAGGAAAAAGTGTGTACGCCATGTATATTTCTTTAAAGTGCAATTTACTCGTAAGCTTATCCAGAAAGAAGCTTCAACTGTAAAAATCCCAACATGGGTGAACTTTGCAAAAACTTTAAGATATACTCAGTATTCTGTCGTAAAACAGTCGAACAACCGAGTACTGAAAGCTTTTAGTTAAAGTAAAGCTCAGCATCTTTTTTTCTCGCCAGGTTATTTTAGTATCGGTTGCTGGAGAGACCAGCCTGAGAGGGCTTTACCAAGCCTGGAGGGAATATTTCCAATGTTGGATGGAAACGATTACAAAGCGCGAAAATTTCCCATTAAGAAATGCGCCACAATAGCCAAAGTTCAAGGATTTCCAGCCTTTGCCTTAGAAAATGGTGGCCAATGTTTAGGTGGGAAGGATATTCTACAGACATACAACATGTATGGGGCCTCTAGGGCGTGTCAGGCGGATGGACGAGGAGGTCCCTGGAGTATGGAGGTGTATAAGTTCACAAGTGAGTTGTTTATCATGTGTGGACAAGATAAAGCGAATCTTGTGTTATGATTGGCTACCAGAGCGGACAGGATGGCTGCACCTTGCCCGCTGGGGATTTCCTTAAGAAAAAGAGGGCTTTTTGGCCATATAATAATCTTTTATTGGCCAAGCTTGTTCGGTCAAGATGGCTGGATATTCAGGCTCGTTTTTTTAGCATTGTTATGGACGGACGGAGACGGTCAGCATCTAGCAATCTTGATTGAACAAGCTTGGTCAATAACCCATATTATGGGTATTGTGTTTGACATAGCTCTAAAATGCACTTTGTTTGAGTGTCAATGTATTTGGGACACCATTTTTACCTCTCCTACTGGAGATCATCCGAGCCACGGAAGGGCTAGCCGCTTGCAGTGCAAAGGGAGTACCTTCATTTCTCAGTTATTTTAAGACCCTGAGTATGGGTCCGAGAATCGGCAATCGAACCCGCGACCTCCTGAGGGATTGACCTAATTTCGAACCCGCGGTAAAATCACAAAGAAACGAGTGATAAGTTAACAACCGACCGGGGGTTACATTGTGGTCTGGAGAATCGTGCTCTTTTTATCTTTAAATTGGGAAGAGCGACAATCCCGACGAAACCATTGCCTCTTTAATTACTGCTTAAAGTCAAATTTATATATGGTATAAAGGTTCATTTTCATTTTGGCATCAACTCAGTGAAAATAACTTTGTTTTTCATATCTGTTTCCAGAACATACACCATCCCGTCGAGGTGGAATTCCTCGCTTGAAAAGCGTAAACCCTCCACTGGGTAGAAAACATTAACTTCTATAGTCAGTAAAGAGAAAAAATGAAGGCTTACGGAGTCAGCTCATGGTATGCTATACGCAGATGCAGACTGTACTGTCATAACTCATGAGAACGAAACACAACTCTATCACTCGTTCCAGCTTCTTTGTTTTGTTCGTTAATGTGGTTCATCTGAGAAACAAGTTAAATATACTGAACAAGCTATCCACCGGCATTGGGGATATTGATGAATCTACTTAAATTTAGATGTAGTTGCAGTTTTTGCACTGAAAAATAGTCGAAAAGTGTCATTCAACGATGGCAATGAATAGAACACCGTCTTAAGATTTGCAGAATGGAAATTTACGGGTATATCTTTCACCCAGATATATTTACCATAGGCTCCCAAGACGTCGCCAAGAGCACATAGTAAGCTACAGGAAAGCCAGTTAGATACATAATGAGTATACTGCATTTTACTCTTCCGTTCGTGTAGTATTGGGGAGCCAATATGTGGTGCCAATGTTATTTACCGGTATGTGCAATTCGCTTATACGAAAACAGTGCATAACCAACATAAACTCTTTGATTAGGATGACATAGAAGCTTTGATCCTGGGAAAACAACGATCACAACAACAACAACAACAAAAGCAATCTAGCAGTTTCAAAGGTTTTTCAAGGTATGAGCTTGACCTTGTGTACCATACAACAAATTCCCCATGCAAGGAACTCGTACGTACAACGGGACAGGTGGTCCTTTGTAATGCTTGCATCATGCCTCAGTAATGGTGTATCTATTCTGCGTGTACCTTATTCTCACTTTGTAAGCTCATACCATCTCTTACACATTTATAAATCTGTTTTAGTGAATAAGAAAATAATTAAATAAAGTATATCAGACAACCTTGTAAGTCCGTGTCACTTTATGATATCATTTGATGAAATGTGCTTTTCCATATATCAGTAACTGACCCAAAGTGGAGGGGTTAGAGAAATAATGATCTCCAAAAGAGAATGGGGACAAACGTTAAAATCGCAATGATCCCTGGGGTCATGAGAAGCGAGACTTCAGTGGTCCTCTAGTTAACAATTGGTTTATGCCTAGGTTATGTATAGTGAAGGAAAGGAGGTACCCCTAGCCTTTTGAGTGATTTCCAAGCTTCCCAAGTGCGTCACATGTCCATATGCTAAGCACAGCTGAAGCATGAGCCAATATTTATTTTAACATTTTCAACGTGTTAGTCAATTCTAGTGTGGTTAGTATAGGAGGCGCTCAAAGCAGATTGCCGGCGTCGCCAATTTCTACTGGAATAGCTGATAAGGTGATACTTGGTAAAGAAATATCAAAAAGTGTCAGATGTTTTCAAAAAAACACGAACGTTTCGGGTTTATGACCTTTCTTTAGTGTGAGAAAAAACTGTTGTTTTTAATTCATTTCGAAGAAGTTTTAACTCTCAGTACTGAGAGAAGGTATGTTTAGAAGGAAAGCTGCTGTACTTATTCTGAGAAGGTATTTTTTTGTAAAGAATAATTGAACGCGCAAATTAGCGCGCACAAGTAAGAACACTCGAGTCGTCCCTCTACTGTTCGCAGACCAAAAACTTAATTTTCTCTTCTAATAAGTTTAAATAACAGATGAGTTTCTGAAGTTTGAAGTGAATTAAAATGAAAATGAGAATGACGGTGACCAGCAGATTAGAGATAACACAGCAAAGAATCTCAAACTATAGAGAATTGCTATCACAAATTTCTCGTACTTAGCAATGTGGATTGCTGGTTGACCAAAATTATGGGTTGGTTGGCGTAAATTTGTTTTTGGTGGGAACGGAATATTTATGACGAAGTTATTAATATATGAAAATCATATATGTGAAGGGCGGAGTGAATAATTTAATGAAGAATGATCATCGCAGTTATATACGCAACTTTTGCAGTTGCGAAAAGAAAGCCTGAAAAAAAAAATAATAATAAATTATTATTAATAAATTCAGGCTTGTACGGGATTCGAACCCTTGATCTCTGCGATACCAGTGCAGTGCTCTACCAATTAAGCTAACAAGCCAACAAGGACTGGAAATGGCAGTACTATGAGCCCAGTGAAAAGGTCAGTGATCGCCAATCCACCAAGAAGAATGTAAGAAGTAGTTCGGAGTAACTGGTTCTTCCAAATTGCCATCAAAATCAGAGCATTTCCAACCACTGCTGGCGACATAATAGCGTTGACAGTACATGTTACTATAGCTACAACATACGAGGCAGAGACGATCATTTTCACGACTTGAAGTATTGTGGTTTTACCCGTACCAGGATCTGTTTGCAGTATTTTCACTACAATCGAATTGGAATTTATCGAAAGACCACGCTATTTGAACGTAATGGAGCTGTATATCCCTGTCAGCTTTTGTAAAATAGAAGGAGGACGCTGGGTTGGGCTTGGTGAGTAGAACTGGTGAGTAGAACTTACAACAAAGGCCTGACAAAAATGTGTAGTCGTTGCTTAAAGTACTTATGTAAAGAGAGTATTAGAGATTATAATATTCCGCCGCGTTTGGCCGCCTAAGATCTGGTGTCAGTTCACCGACAAATGCAGAATATTCCCTGCGACATTTGACATTAGAAATGATTGGATTCTATTTTTCCTCTGCACTATAACCAAACAGAATGACAAAACCATACTGACAACATCAATGAATATTACATTATTTTAAGAGTCGTGGTGCCGTAGTGATCAGTTGTGGGATAAAAGTGAATTTCTTTTAAGCCTTATGCTTGCACGGCGGCCGAGATGCCATCTCGTGCCTCCTAACTTGTGTATTATAATTATAATATAGAGGGTGAATTGGAGCAAATTATCACGAAAAATTCGTTTGAGCATTAAGGAAAACAACAACTAACTGCAGAGTAAGTTTCATTAACGTTTATGTAGTATTTCCTACAAATTTTAGGATTGTCTTTTTACCCCATACAAACACTGTAATTTTACTGGAACCGTACAGTGGTAATATCACGGAGCCTGGGTTACCTGTGCTTGTACTTGGTGGTTTCTTTAAACTTTTTAGAGTTGTCATCAAATTGGCATGGGCAGTTTGCTGTTTGGGATGATGGGAAGAATAAGACGATTGTCAAATTTTAATTCATCTTTACCCCCAAGTGGCAAACTTCCCGTCTAAATTGAATAGATTAACAAATACAAGGGTTTTTATTGATGCTGAAAAATGAATGGTTCGAAGTACTGGAGTTGCCTGGTGGCTTTATTTTTCCTCAAAACAGGAACTTTCGGTGCTAAAAACTGGAAGGAGATCTCCGTAGATGCTATATTTTGCTTCTTTTTTTTTAGATCTTTTTCGAAAAGAAGAGGGCAAATACACAGTAACTTTGATAAATGGAAGTTCTTTAATCCCACAGCGCATTCAGCATAAAGTTGTTCTTCTTGTAGTGTTTACTATATTCGCCGGAGGTTTCTGATCGGGCAGATAAAATGCAGACTGCGGACTGACTGTGGACTATTGTTTTCAGGGTTAGAAAACAAAGGGACTATTGTTGTCACGTTCTTATTTGCATCAATGAAAACAATACTCCGCAGTCTGCGTCTCTGATTACTCAGTTTCTTGCAATAAGTAAGAAATGGTTAACTTGCAACGTGCGATTATCGAGTTATGAATGCACGCAGGAGGTTGCTAAGCACGATGCGATGAAAGCTGCACAATCTGAGCGCGTTTCCTAAAACATTGGCTTGAATTTAACATCAACTTGATTTACATTGTAAACAACAATAACACAATGGTAACTGATAAACTTTCATTTCTATACAGACTTTCTCTTCTATTAAAACACTTAAAATGTACCTTAAATCTCGGTCTTAAAACTTTGCTCAATCGGTTTTTCCTCTGAGCTCCGAGCCGCCAAGAAGACAGTGATAAATATCTCCAGGACAAATTTGTCGCTTGATCTTTTGACTCTAATTTTCTTCAAATGGACAACTAAGTATTTTCTTCAACTTTCACCGTTTCATTTGTACATTTCATCGATGCATTTTAAACTGACAGGAGAGGAGAATTTGCCTCAATTTTACCACGCTAGGCTCAGTTTCTTGGCGTGCACCAACTTGAAAATGGCAGATGGCTAACTGACCAATGAGAGCGCGCGCTTTACTTTTGTTATGTTATAAAAAGCTTTGGGTAAGAATATCATTTCAGATAGGAGATAGTCCTTCGGCAGTCTTGCTCTATTTGTGCGTCAACTTTCATAAAAAAAATGTTGGCGTAGCATTTAAGGTCAAATTTGTTTTTGTGCAGCGAAGTATATGGTCACGATCGGTCATGACTTCAAACTTGCAGGTATAAAACTATAAGCTCTGAGGCTTATTTGCTGAAGTTAGGGGAAAATCTGTCGTAGGATTTATCATTTGCATGTTTCGTAAAAAAGCAGATTTAAATATATGCTGATATCTCAAAGGTTTTCATACTTACAAGAGAATAAATAACATTTTCTTCAAATTCCACTATTCTTTATTAAGGATGCCAGAAATCACAGAAATTGGTCAAATTGTTCTTGCTGAAAAACGCGATTCAGAAACATAGCCAACACCTATATAAATAGGTTCGGGCCTAAACTATTCTCGACTGTTAATTGTAACGTTTTCCTCTGTCGCAGTGATCATAAGTGAAGGCAATTAAGCTAGTGATGGTTACTCTCCACTCCCAGACTCGTCATCTTGCTGCGTTGCATCAGTCCTGTATAAATACGAAAAATGATGGAATGAATGTCTTTGCGACCCTGGGTACGAGAGGTTTTGCTCGCGTGCGGCACCCAGGGTATGTCTTTGCGCAGTTGATAATATTTAGGTTATCAAAGTGTCAAACAAAACGCATTTAACTCACAATAAAGGTGGTGTCATTTCACAATAAATGATAGCAAAAAACGGAGGTATTTTAACATTGTAGGTACGATAAGAGTCCGCGCCCTTGTAAGTCTGATATAATTTAATGAATGGGAAGAAGTCAGAAAGGAAATTTATTCCAGAGGAGAATAAATGATTTTATGCAGCTACATGTAGCTAAGGGAGTTAATATGTTACTTGACCTTGATTAGTGAATATTTAACTCAGTGCAGGCCTGTTTGTGGGCCTCTTTTTCTTCAGCTTCAACAGGAAAAGGTTTTCCCCACCCTCCCCTCCCTAAGGGGTGGCTATGAGACATATAACAAGGGGGCTCACTTGGTTCAGGTGGCGGGTTTGCCCTCACCTTTACTGATTATAAATCAATATCTCTAGATTTCATGTAATTTGGATTAATTGTTATCAAATAAACGGCCACAATTGTGGCCAAAATAGGGCAAAAATATTGTTACACCTTTTATGCCGCTTCCAGCAAACAGAGCTCAGCCCTGGCAATGCGCTTCGTAGTTAGGGTTAAGTAGACAAGATTCGTAAATACTGATTTAAGCATATATGATTGTTATACCGTCAGCCATTTTCGTAAATCTCCACGACTGATGCTAAGCTGAATTCCTTTTAAAACTATATCAACACCATAAAATTCGAATTTTACCAGGTATATTTAATTCGTGAGGTGCGAGACATGTCCACCCACTCATATTTAGGTAGATATTTTTCGTAATAGAATTTTTTTTCTTGATCAACTGTGCCGTCTGCATTCATCTTCTTCACTTCAACCTGGAATGAAGTAAAAAAAAAATGTCGAGTAATGTAACTCCTTATTAACAACAATTCAATAAAATATCGTGACACATGTGACAATTTAAATTCATTAAAAAGAAAAAAAATATATATCAGTTTTCCTTTTCGCGTCAGAACTGATTTCATGTTATTCATAAACGTAATTACTTATTGACACTATGGGTAAAATTCTTATGTAGTCTACAAGAAGCCAGCCCGGCAAAGCTCTCAGCGGAATTTTATATAGATATAACTGAGGCCTGAAAAAAATCATACCCTGAAATATCATATTAAGTAGCATTAGTGAGTTTTCACGCGAGTGGTTTATTCCCAATAAAATGATTATACATAATAACTGTAGACAAGATGGATGCAGTGTCGGACCAGGCCGGAGCCTCCCCTATAAAACTTTGATGAGTGCCCCCTGTACATCCAGCAAATGGTAAGCGCTTATTATTCTCACCCAATCCAGTCTCCAAGGCCAATGAGATCCAGCGTTGTCTTGTTTCAGACTCACAAATAGCATGCTCCCAACATCTATGCCTCTTACGTCAAAGCTATCCAGGCTGGAACAAATAACAGTTTTTATACCATGCTTTCAATATATGGTCGGTGTACGCGTCAGTTTAAAATTGGAAGCTAGCTGAGATTTTTTTTCGCGAAGTATAGAACGGCGCCCGAAGCAAATTGTTTTAATTCATTTCTTAGAATACTAGAAATGCAATTTCAACGAAAGAAAAAAGACAAAAACGAACAAAAAAGCCACAAGAGCTTGTTTGAAAGTTTGTCGAAAAACACATGAAAACACATGGAACTAAAGTACCTTGACCAGTTACGAAAGAAGACAAGTGTTGTTTCTTCATGATCGCGAAGCCATTCGCCGATCGAGTCACTCGCCAATATAGATAACTGCGGCTTGTTTATCCGACATCAAGAATATAAATCACAAGTAACCAGCTACAAATACAGGCTATGCAGCCATTCACTAGAGCAATCGAGGCGGCAGTATAGCTTCTTTTCTTGTTCAGCAAAACCAGCTTGTGGCTTCAAACAACTTCATAACAAGGGACCGAGGCAATAGTTTTTCTCCCTCGTTCTTACTTTTATAACTGCACCGAAAATCCAAATTCACAGTGATTTCGACGGCTGTCACTTAAAAATTCTTTTCCTTTACATTATCTGCCAGGTTTTTTTAGCTGTCCTGCTGTGTAAAATCCTAGAATCCCGATGAGTTTTTAAAAACTAATGTTCATCGCTACAATGTTTTGATTTTTTCATTCATGCAGTCCAGGAGAGTCCGTTCGCGCGTTGACAGTTTTGATAGACGTGTGACATGTGAATAGCGGAACTCCCTTGTCTTTTCCGGTTTGTTCTAGCCGGGGAGATTCAACGGGATTTTGTGGGCGTTTTTAATAAAACAATTATTCCACTCGCGCTTGTTGGATATGAGATGATTATAGCCAACTCGGCGCTACGTGCCTCGTTGGCTATCTATCGTGTCATATCCAACGCGCCCTCGTGGAATAATTGTTAAATATACCACTCGTAAAATTCATAAAAACTACATCCGGGACTCGAATGGTGTATTTTCCATAGTCTCTCACGTGAGTTTATCGATGGCGTAATTTCGGTAATTTCCGTCCAAAATTTGTAGGCGTCTTGCGTCCTTTGAATTTTAATTACACAGTTTTCAAAGCTTTACTTATATTTTGTCAGTACAGCCCTATTCAGCTCAGTGTTATTTCTCAAGATTATTGTAAACAATGTCTTATATTGCTGTACTGTAAATTTGGGCCGTCACAATTACTTTTTGGCGAATAAAAATCTATTATTTTATCGATGTCTTTTTGTCTATATAATAAAAAGAACATTACACGGCGGCTTGAAGATATGAATTTTATTTTCTCGTGGCAAAAACAATATTTTACGCACTCGCTGCGCTCGTTCGTAAAATATTGTTTTGCACTCGAAAATAAAATTGATACCTTCGCTCCACAGTGCAACATCTTTTATTTATTATTCATTCAAAATATTCCCCCGACTCTGATTGGCTAAAAGCACACGTTTAATTCACCATAACCAGTTACTGATGACCAAATTTGGAAGAATTTTGTGTTTAGCGAGGAAATGACGCCAAAAATGCAGCGTTCTTGCAGGTTAATGCACCGTTAACAGAGAAGACCTGGGGACAAGGTTGAGTTGTTTTGGTTGTGAACTTGAAAATGGCGGACATTTCACTCGTTTCAAGAGTTAGAACTAGGCAATAAAATAGCTTATTATAAAAACATAGCAAGAACAGCAAGAAGCAACTCAAAGTGTGACGTCTGCTATTTGAAGAATATTTGCGGAGCTGAACAACCGTAAACGTGCAATATCGAAGATGAACTTAACATCGATGGAGCGATGGAGGTAAGCATGTTTTAGCCATTTTTTTAAACTAGGAATTAACGTTCAGTTTTCGCCGAATCGGATCCGCTTTCTTCGGCGAACTCCCTCAAGCCAGGACCGTTTTCTTCTTTGTCAGCTACTCTGGCCAGATTATTCCCCATATAAATCTTTTGACTCGTGGACGTAAGTAATATCAAGTTTGCACGTCATTTCGCTTGCTGTGCGTGATCGGCAATGAAATGAACTGCCCGCCAAGTTTAAAATTACATGACGCCACTCTAACCGACCAATAAGATGGCGTCCTTAAAATAACCACGCAGTATGACACAGAGCCAAGAATAGATTGAAAATAATTTTCATGGGAAGAGGGTCATGTATGGGGGGATTCTCTCTCTTAGATCATTCTCTCTTGACATCACAAATGCCCAGCCCCTCCCCCAACCCACAAACATCGTTCAAAGCGTGTATTAAGAATTTTTTTCGAGTTTTAGACATCTGAAGTTGCGTTTTGCTATTGGAAGAAAGTCTAAACTTCCTAATCGTCATAAAAATTTTCAAACATTTATGGTTTCCTAAATTTCATACTAACTCAAGATAAGTAAATGCTTACTTTCCCCTCTCAAAGTCATCATGATCAGGGTTGTCCAGCTTAACAGCAGTTGTTGAAACGTGATGTGCACCATTACGAACCAAAAGACCAGTTATTAAGAAATCAACATTTGCATCCGTGCCAGCGCCAAGCTCGGAATCTGTTTTAATCTTGACTTTGTAGACTGTTAAGTGAAAAGAATGAATCACCTGGAATTAGGAGATAAGGGCCTATGAATGGGGGAATAGTTTAGAAGAGAGAACATTTAGCCTGCCAAGTTCAATCATTTGAAGCCTGCAGTTGCCTATTTTTACTTTTAATCAGGTTTACAAGACTTTACTGCTGAGAAAAGAGGCTTCCATCTAGGTGAAAAATCTGGTTTCTTTACCTTATACTCTTGTCACTTGACCAAACCCAACGAAATTCGCTCTCATTTGACAACAAAGGTTTGGTGTAGGAACGGGCAAATATTTCCCGTTGATGAAACGTAAGAAAAACAGTAAAACTTACGGACGGGTCCACTGCCGAAAACTGTCCCATGTGCAGAACCGCAAAACATCAAAAGTGACGCAAATAACAGAGTCTTCATTATACGACCTGTTTAAAAATAGGAATGTCATGAAGGGGACAGTTTTCTTCGACTTACTTTTTGTTTGGTGGTAAACTTCGATTCGCTCATACATAGCCTTAACTGTGAGCGATCTCTTGGGCGAGAATATTTTTTTCGGTTATCTTCTTTCACGTGTAACGAATTTTAAAAATATATATTTTTACGTCTATTTTTATTACATTCCACTGAGACGCTTCACTTAGTTTCAGCATTTACGCTGAATATTTTTTCTTTAAAATTTAACTCAAGTCATCCACATTGTGATTTTCAGAGATAATGTACGGTTATTATTTAACATAACGATTACAGTATTATAGTCGGTAACCGATATTACATTATTTTGTTGTACGAATACATGCACTCACCGGAATAAGGGGCAGGGGAATTCCCTCTTAAATCTATGAGATTATCTTGTAACAAAGAAAAAAAGAATGTAGTTACCTTGGATAATATTGTCTTGAGACGTTGGTTGAAATCTATAAAATTCTTGTTTATTCCGATCCCTTAAACGGTTGACAGCACTGCTCATTGAGTGACACGTAGTGTAGAGTGTCGAATGCTTCGTGCAACGAGCGGATAGGCTGTTTTCGAATTTTTTTATCCACTTAACTGGAAAGTCACAAGTCAGAGTGACAAGTTGCGTTCCTCTATTGGTCACTTCCATTTCTGCCTTTCTTACATCTGAAATGATTAAATTGTATTAATTTTTTATTGTTTTTTTCTCAAACTAATAGATTTTTCTCACTAGTTCGTGCAAGAGGGGAAATAAGAGCAAATATTTTTCTAGAATTTTTCACCCTGCAATATAAACTTGAAGCTCAGCCATCGTCTTTGGCGTCTTTTTAGCAGGTATTAATCTCAAGTACAGTGGAGCAAACCACAGTCTCAAAAATTCCCCACTAAATTCCAGCCGTCTCTAAAAATTACCCATCGACTACGATCATTTTGAGGCGTGATGACTAAGAAATTCTCTGATGCATGGTTCTACTAAAAGGTGGTAGTAAAGGTTCCCTAAAAGGATAAAACTGTTGTTATTTCGTCGATGTAGCTTTCAGAACTCGGGTGCAAACATGTGATGTTGCGAGAATCCACATCATGTAAGGTAATCTGGATCTGGAATACGGGAAATGTTTGCTCTTGAAAGCGTCTGTTATGTCCGTAAATTCTCCGTACCCGAAAGTTCAGTAAATTTGGCGTTTAGGCTGTATATGTTCAAGTTAACTTTAGTCTGCCTAATCAGTTGTTTCGAATTTTGCCTTTAAGATGACATAACTAATTTTTGGAGTGGCATAAAGGCCACGAATATTTTGTAACAAATTAACGTTTCTTTCAGTTGTTTGTTTTCTGAACATGTTTGTCTAAAATGTCAGAATTAAGCTTGCTCATGGAAATTATTTATTACGGCTGTAGCCATGCTTTTGAATCTTTATTGTATTTTTGTTAATCCATATGGTAAGTATCTTTGCCTTTTTCTATCATATTTGATCTGTGATAAGGCTTAAAGTCAGCTTGACGTAATTTACTGAGCTACACTAGGCAAAATAGGAAAAAGGACGTAATTACTCGTGAACTTCGCATGAGGCGTTGAAAGATTTTTGTTTTTACATTTGGTCATTACTAAACTTATTTCTTCAGTTGCGGGTACTGGTCTTAAAGTCAGCATGGGGTCGGGAAGTTAAGGATTTATATCACCCGTGCGGTCCTTGAAAACTGCAGATTGAATTTATTTCGCTTTCTGTAGAGGTTTTTTTTTAACAATTCGCTCGAGGGTACTTGAAAATCTCCAGTGGCACTTGTTCAGTACAAGCTTTACACTGGACAACATTAAGCACTTGACTTCAGGTACCCTGTTTTCATGTTTCACTAAGCTTACCTGTAAAATTCCGACGTTGCTCGATGTGCACAGAAAAAGTTCATGGCCCTAAATAGAATTAACCATAATTTTTTGAGCTTTCTTATTGCTTATTTCTCATATTATTTTTCTCTTCTTTGGCATTTTTTTGAGGTTTTTGTCAAAAGGTACAGTTTCAGGCTTTGTATTAAGAGAGTTTCTGCATTAAAAATGCTGGGAGGACTAATTACTAGCCTGTTAAAAGTATCAATAAAGACACAATGAGTCGCAGGGCTTAGAAGACACTATGTGATGTTATTCCATTTTAAGAACAAAACTGTCTTATAGATCAAGCAAGCACAACGTGACTGTTTGTTTTCATGTACATGTTTTCAACTGCCAGTCGTTGGGTAACACCTGGCCGCAGATAAACAGTTATACTGCAGACAAGAAGTCAGTTTTGTTATACTGATATTGCGTTTTATTGCTAGTCTCCTTAACAAAGTGACATCGGCGGAGTCTGCTTCGCCTATTGTAGCTAAAAGAACTTGTAACTCATTACCTTAAAATAACCCTGGACACAAAGTTAAAATAGTTTTAGTACAAAATACTTCAAAAATGTGTTATACAAACGCCATGCTGTTTAAATTTGGTTTAGCTGATTGAAGAATTAGAGACATTGAAACATTTCCTCTTTTTTTGCGAAACTGAAGTCAACACTTTCTGGAATGAGCTAAGCTAAGCACCATTCTTAAGATCTCTTGAAACGTAAAAGGTAGGTTTTGCTAATTAACTTCGATATCAAAGATAATTTATTTGCCCATTTTTGATCGGATATATTACAATAATGACAGTATTTTAGTTTCAAAATTGTTTTATTCTTGGGGAGAATAAATACCTTTTCGTTCCAAGTTAAGTGAATAATCCTTCTCGACTATTCATTTATTAGCCAAACGCAAAACAAATCGAAAAAGACAACTTGTACCTGCTTCTGACGCAAGTAATATCTGCATCTTCTAAAAATACACATGGCGTTCACCCTTATTCTACGTCGACCCCATGCTAACTCCTTCACATAAAACTTTTTGCTTGTACCCGTAAGGAGAGAGGCTCAAAACATGACCAAAGTGAAAAAAAAAAAATTAATAATAATAATAATAATTACATTCTAGGCTTCTTTACGTTGGTCTAATTAATGTTAAGATGTCATGGTGTTTAGAGGGGATTTTAAACCTTATCTCAGAAAAAGAATTTATGTAACTTAACACAATAAAAGAATATTTCAAGATATTAGAGAGGATTCTACTCGACCACATGCTAACTCCTTCACTTAAAACTTTTCTCTTGTACCCGTAATGAGAAAGGCTCAGAAAATGACCAAACTGAAAAAGGGAAAAAACAGAACCTTCTAGGCCTCTTTATACGTTGGTCTAATTATAATTTCAAGATGTCACGGTGTTTAGAGGCGGTTCTAAACCTTATCTCAGAAAAAGAATTAATGTAACTACACAAAAAAAGAATATGCAAGATATTAGACAGGAGGCTTAAAAGATAATTTTTCTTACTGTCTTTTTAGAATTTCATATTGAACGAGGACGAAGAGTTCACGTCTCAAAGAACTGGCTAGTCAAAGGAAGTGTGAGGCTAGAATCTTCGCGATTACTGGTACCTGAGATTTTTTTGAAAAGATAGAACAAAGCCCAAAAAGGAATCCAAATTTGTAATTTACTTTTGGTAGCACGGAACTATGTTACTCAGTGGAAGAACCGGTCCCAATAGAAGATTTAATCAGCTCAGATGAACAACGGAGAAAACAAGGCTGATTTTACAGTTGGGAATTTTTTTTCCCATGAATACTTAATTTCGAAAGGCACGGCCCTTCTTCTTTTGAGTCTTGCATCATGATAACCTGGTAAAGTAGCTACGATGTTACAGTTTAAAGTGAAGGATAGCATGCAATGGGAAACTACAATAACACGATGAACTTTAAGGCTTTAATACTTAAAGAAACTGAAATATCAAAAAAAGGATGAATAAATACAAACGGAAAAAATGTGTTACATTTCGTCTTTCCTATTCATGCCTCAAGGCTAAAGGGTTTCATCAGTCTCTCGATGAGGTATGCCTCTCAAGCTTTTCGTACGCTGTCTCTATTCGATTTGATGAGTTTAAGTGGAATAAATGTATGTAATGTCGATCGTTAGTGGAATGATCATTGGTAAGAAAATGTTATGAGACTGTTGGGTTTGGGGATATTATGGATATATGGGTTGTTATCTGGTCTGCGGTGGTCTTCGAAACTGTCCTCAAGTCGTCGATTAGTTCTTCAATGTACTGCTTGAGGCAACGTTTGCGGCTGTACCATGTAAATAACCTGTCTAGAGTTGCACTGAGGTTATGTGATGAGTTATAGGTCTGGTTTCACCTGTAGAGTGGAATGGGTATGATCAGTGTAATGTGCATCTTCAGTTACGTACTTGCAAGTACGACATAGGTACGAGCCCCGGGGTTGGTTGAGTTGAGTAAGATTGCGAGGTTTAGCTCTATATAGAAAATCACTTTTAATAATTGTAACTTGCAAGTAAATTCAAGAGAGAATTGGCTCTTTATCACAAAACATCCTAAGGCTACAGGTAACTCAGATAATCTATACAGAAATGAACAAGCAGAACAATTACATACTGTGTCTGGGACTGGAAGGCGAGAGCATGTAGACGTGTTTCTGTGCGCTCCGTTTAAGAGCCTTATTTTTTTTCTTTCGTTCTATGTTATGTCTTTAAATAACCTACTGCTGTCCAACGTTAAAAGAAA